TCCACATTGCATTACGCTGCTGCATATCTAGCATAAGGATACAGTGAGGGACAGGCCGACAATTAATTATCAAAAGATATAATATTATAAATTTGGCCAAGGTCGACAGAACCTTTGCCATTTTAGATGAGTAAACTATAATGAAATATATGGAGATAACGAACAGTATTCAAGCTCTAAAGTCCATTAAACAATACAAAATAGGAGCAGAGCAAACACGGACCTCCAAGGATCAGGAGCCATGGAGGACAAAAATATGACAGGACACAATGTATTGGTTACATAAAGCAATAAGGACATGTACTACCCGAGGACCACCCATGTATAAAGTGTAAAATAATACATAGATAGAGGAACGACATGTAGCTGAGCACCAATCGCCTATCAAGTATTGAGTGATGACATGTTGCCAAGAATCACCTAGCAGGTATAAATTAACGACACAAACCCGAGCTTCAACTAGCGAGTGAAGAGTAACGACGTATAGCCAAGAACCACATATAGAATGTCTAAAGTAACGAAACATAGCCAAGAACCGCCTATAGAATATCGACAGTGGCGATATATAGCCAAGAACCCCTAAAGTATGTCTAGAGTGCATATATACAGCCAAGATCAACCTATAACATGTCTAGAGCAAAGAGATATAGCCAAAACAGCCTATATCATGGGTAGATTAAAGAGATATCGCCAAGAACCACCAAGTACCACTTAGAAAATATTGAGTAACGATATATATACTAGTAGACAAGAGTCACCTATAGAATGTCTAGATCAACCATATATAGCCAAAACACCTATAACATATCTAGAGTAGCGATGAAATTTTAAGATAACAAAACAGTAATCAAGTCAACTGGAAAAGTACAAATTAGGAACAGAATAAACACGGACTTCAAAAAATATTAGAGGTGGGATGAGACCCGATGGATGAGTAAGCATCTCCTGTCGCCTGGTCACACCTGCCATTTGCTCCTTGCCATGATCGGACAAAAGGGTAAATACGTAGACAACCCAGTGTGAAAAACAGTGGTTTAACAAATATGAAAAACCATAGCAAAAAAAGAAGCTAAGAACCACCTAGCAATTTTTGAGTAAGGACATTCAACTGACCACAACTATGCAAGAATAGAATAACGATTCACGGTGTATAGCCGATTATCAAGTATTTGGATGTTTTACTGACGATAGATGATAAGAGCAAACTAACAACTAAATTGTTGATTGATAAATTGACAAACGAGATGACTTAAACTTTTCCATCGTCAACTTTCCTTATTGTGTAGAAATATTCCGCTATCATCTGCATATGGTGTTTACATGTACATCTCCATACTCTGAGTACGATGATTTTTTAAACCGAGGAAACGAACAGTATGCAAGCTCAAAGTCCATTTAAACAATACAAATTGGGAGCAGAGCAAACACGGACCTCAAAAAAGCAGAAGTGGAATCAGGTGCCATGGGGGAGTGAGCATCCCCTGCCAGGTATTTCAACAACCTCGTTTAAACTCGGCATTTCGTAAATTATATGGTCGTTATAATGACCTTGTTAGCATTTACATGTATAACCTTTCACTGGGTCGTGTTTTGGCTGATTTTTTCATACCAATTGTGAGGCCTTAGTTTTTATACTGAATTTGACTACGGAATGTTCCGTCTACCTGATCAATACATAGGGTTCATGACGGGTGTGACCGGTCAACAAGGAATGCTTACGCCTGCTAGGCACCTGATCCCACTTCTGGAATTTCTAAGTGTCAGTGTTTTATGCCCTCTTCACAGAATTGTATTGTTTGTAGATTTTTTAGATCAATCACTGTTCGTTATCCTCACCTTTTTCATATAGCCAAAAACCACCTAGTTAGTAATGAGTAACTATAGATAGTCTAGCACCATTTATCAAGTACTAAAAAAGGTCAAAGCAAGTACAGAGTAACGATACATAGCCAAAAACCACCTAGTTTGTATAGATTAACGTTAAAGCTGAACACGACTTATAAATAGGCATACGCCATTTTCTCTATTACTATCTTCGATATCATCACAGGGGTATACTCTTCGCATTCGTTACACCTGACTGCTTTATTGTGACGATATCGGCGTGGAATGGCGACCCATGTTCGTGCTAATTATCTTGCATTTTATTACTTTTGTTTACATTTTATTGCAGTAACGTTTATTTGTGTTTGTTTGTATATTGCACTGACCTGTGCAACTGTTGTAAGTTTCTTTGGTATCTTATTCTCCTGCATAAGAAGTACTCAGTTATTTTTTGTCGCCATCGAGTCCTATATAAGCATACGTCCGTCTACACTGGTGACAATTGATTGCACTGAACAGTGACTAAGTGAGCGGCTTTATATATTTATACAGATATAGCGAGAGACCAATCGAATATGACGGACATATTCCTTTTACGAATCGTGTTCAGCCTTAAATAGCTGAGAAGCAACCGTCTAGTAAAAGGTCACGACTTAAAGCCGACCACTATTTATCAAGTATTGAAACGTATGGTTGACACTTATGATGTCTCTAAAAAGAAAACCGCCAGAGAGTAGTCTTGTCTATTGTTTTTTCACGTTATTAAAGTTATTCCATATTCGGTGTCTATACACTAAAGACGACTGAAATTAAGATAAGAACCAACCATACAGAACTGGTGTGCTAAACCTGACTTGATTACGAGTATACTTTGCATTTAGTCAAATCTGCCTGATTATTGGAACTAGGGGTTACCATTGCTCATTCATGCAGGACTCGAACGCAGTCCGCAAGTCCTTAAAATTGATGAAAAAGAATTACTCTTGTGTGCTTTGCCTTGACTTGAATGTATTTTTACTTTTAGTTAAAGACACTTTTTTAAATGTTTTGTTCGTGTTGAAAGAGAAAAATGAAATACAGTAGAGTCGGTACATATTTTGAAAAACGTTACATATTAAATTTTATTGCAACGATGATCATTCTGATGGGAAAAACAATACCGGTCATTTACAATATACACGCAATTGTCGATAAAATATGTTGTCGTTCATGCTGATCAGTATTTGGTTTTCATTTCTACCACCACTTTTATCCAGAATAGAAAGGATGAGGCTGGATTTAAAAAGTAGTTGGTAAAGTTTACTTGAAGAATTATATCAAACAGGAAAAAAAGGGGAAATATGACATGAAATAGATGATGAAATTTTTTTTTTAATTCTTATACATGTATATTTATAAAGCCCAGAATATTCTTTTAGGTCCTGCTTTGTCGTCAGTGACAAGGAAAGAGTAAATTGTCAAAAAGTTACAATGACAAATTGAGATTCCATGTCCCAGTATCCTTTATGACAAAGCATCATTGAGTATCCCCAGTGATAGGACCACTGACGAGGCAACATCGAGCTGTCATTCATTTGAGCATCGTCAGTAAAGGCAACAGTGAGTTCTCGATCGTCTGATTATTGTCAGTGACGAGGCAGCATCGAGTTGTCATTTCAGTATCGTCAGGGATGAGTTGCTATTCAATTAAAATGATGTGGAAATATATTCAATTTTCCTTCTCTTTTTAGCTCAACATTTAGCCACCTGTTTTGAATTTATCCATTCAATGTTATTGTGCCTGAGGAAAAAAAAATAGAAACGTTTTTATTGAATTTTCGTAAAAATCATGCCTTTGCTGTGTTATTAATGTTAAAATAGTTGATTATATGAAATTCCTAGTTTGTTGTGAGGATACCCCAGCGAGATATATTCATTTGACAATATTTTCTTTATCTCTTTTCAGAGCAGTGGAATACATATATGTCATGTCAGCATGATTGCATGAACGTTGCTGCATGTACTGCTGCCATGCTTAATTCTATTGGAAATGGAATGTATTGATAAATAAAATGAATTTAAGTACTTTTTCCAAACATCTTCTTCCAAACAATGTTTATTTCAGGTGAGAATGTTACCAGAAAAAATAACTACAGCTAATATTATATCAGCAGCATAAAACAAATAAAAGTCATGATGATGAATTGTTCTTGAAAAAAATGCATTTTGACCTTTCTCTATAAGCGGTAAAAGATATGAAAGAATTTCGCTCTTATAATTCATTTCGGGAACAATAATTTGAAAAGTGGGATTGAATAAAATTCTTTTATGATACTTTTTCTAATGCATTTGATAAAAATGCGGAATGGCTGTTTATTGACACTTCAGAACGTTTACTTTGAAGAATTCAAATAAATTGATATGCCACCTGTCTTAAAGTTAATGTTGGAGTTTGTAAGATATGAAAAATAGCAAATAAAATTTGCAACCTGCTGTAGAATGAATCACCGTCACGGTAGCTCAGTCGGTGGAGCGCTCACCTCCGTGATCGTCGTGAGTTCAAACCGGCTGCAACTGACCAAGTCGATAAAAATAGGTAGCAACTTTGAGTCGACGGAGCGATGTCACGTGGTGAGGGGACGTGCAGGATGCAATGATTATGAAGCATCATCATCATATTAATTCGTCATCACACCATCGCCCTAAACTTCGATGACAATATGGTTCAATGGTAAATTACGTGGCCCTATACGATGCAATGAAAGAGAGACCTTTTAGTCGATATGATTTATATTTTCAAACTCTGATAAAAAGATGACAACAAATTTTTCATAGAAAAAAAAAATTACACTCTGACATTGGCCAAAAGTATTTACAAATACTAGTAAATAAAAGTTTCACGGATAATGAGACACATCTGTACCAGATATAACCTTCAACAATCTCTGCAATACAGAGACTAAACAATATCACATTTTTGACAATAGAGTTTGTCAAATGACCTAAACTATTACTTGCAGATGATGAACAAACTAAAAATCGTTTTGCAGATTTGCAAGATTGATACAGATAAGTGGTCGAGCAAGACTTTAACAGGTTTAGTTTAAAATTGGTATTTTTATCTTTACCAAATTTAGTAGGGATGCACATAATCAATCATGATTAGGATGCGCCATGTAAATTGTCTTTTCTTATTCTATTAAGATCCGTTCACTATTTTTGCCCTACTTTTATTATTGTTGTGTTGATATTACAGCTTGAGATGCAGCTGTTAAGTCGGACATTGTGTGTGACTTTTTTAAATGTATTATTTATATAACACGATGATGATGATGCTTCATAATCATGGTATTAAGATTTTATATTTTGCTCTTTAAGAGAAAAACATGCTTAAAATTCCCATTACAACAATGGAATAGGAATAAATCTTCCATACCACTGTCGAACAAACTTGCATGGATGCATATGCGTTCTTTTATTCGTGTGTCATTGATATACCTGGTATGTTACATACTTTTACAGAAAAATGATCAAAATAATTATAACTAATTATAATAGTTAGAGTATTCAACAGTATATCAAAAGTTGATATATGTCTTAAATTATCGATGTCTTATATATACATAAATTTATTCATGTATAATTTAATATCAAATCTGAAGTCACAATTTCCTACATTGACGATATTAGTATTATTGTCTGCTACAGAGAGATATGGGATGTTGGTTATAAATTACTTCAACTTTTCAAAACTAAAGCAATTTCTTAAAAATTACTTATTGTTCAAATTTATTTTCAATATCGGTTTGTGCTAAAATTAAGACCAAAACCTTTTTGTACAGGAAAATTTTGAGGACAAGCCAATACTGTCTAGGTCAAAATTGGGATTGGAACAACTCGAAAGGCCAAAAGAAAAGCCCGTTCAGGATGTATGGTACATATAAATCTTAAGTGGATTTTTTTTAATAAAATAGCAAAATATCATCAGAAAATATTATTGTTTTGAAAGGAAATAAAAAAAATTAGAAGAAAGATAAATCAGTTTTTGTTTGAAACTTTTTTCCCTATTTATTGAAGAACAATTTTCTAATAAGGGGCAAAATTGATATGAAAGAATGTGTCGAATTGCAAGAAATTCTGCTCAATTTTTAATGGAATTTACATTTGATATCAATTTAGAGAGTAATCAAAAACTACCTGGTATTGTCAAATATTTGTCATATCTAACTTAAAGCAAATTTAAAAATACTAATCCATCACAAATGTGACATCGTCATAAGACTCTCTGCTTCCAGATTCCCCCTTTTAATCCCTTATCTTCTCATACTGTTGTGACTCATAACCCTTATTGACAAATTCATGACGTTTTAGAACTTCATTTCTAAGTTTTGTGTATGTATGGCTTTCCTCCTCTTTCTGTGTACATTCATAAGGATATCTGCTCTCGCGTCTCTCCAGGACGTCATTTCCGGATGATGACGTCACAGACTCTCTATAAGCGTCCAGGTACATTTCTCTGTTCTCAAGATCTACTCTCAGGGAGTTTATTTCTTCAATTTCCAAAGCTTCATCATGTTTCATTCCTTCATTTCCGATCGAAGGATGATAGGCATCCAAGTACATGTTCTCATTTTCTTGATTGCTTTCATTTTCCTTCTCATAATCAATGGAATAGTAGATCGTCTCAGTATCCGGCAGTTCGCTGTAATTGTTTTTGGATTGTAAGGTAGACACAGGAGTTTCTTGATTACCTTTTTCATTTTCTTCTTTGTTTCTAAAATGCGACAATGAAATTATTGATTTCATACTGTATTTACAGTGAAATGAAATGTGAAGACGACGAACAGTAATTCCAAAAGTCCAATTAAGCAATTCAATTGTGAGCAAAGCTAACATGGACCACTGAAAAGAGAGATGGGATCAGGTGCCATGGAGAAGTGAACATTCCATGTCACATCCTCAGTGTGCCCCTGCCATGATCTACTAAACGGAAAATCTGTAGAAAATTTCGTGTGAAAATACCGAAACTCAATCAACTTTCGATCCAATGAAAGGTTATATTTGCAAACAAGGTCATTGTATCGATTACAGAATTTGCAAAATGTTGACTTTAATTAATTAAAGATTGTTGATATTCGTTTATCATCAACTTATTCGTCAGTAGCCTGTCTGTTTTATAAATTTTTCTGCCATAGCAAAAGGTCTTCCATACTGATGCAACTGCGAGACATAAACACCGTATGCATGTGATAATGGATCACGTATATTTCTACATAAATAATGGAAGTTGACGATAGAAAATTTGAGGTCATAACTTTTAACTTGAGTTGTCAGTTTGCCATCATTTTTTCTCTCTAATAAAACATCCAAATATGAAATAGATGATCAGACTCTGTGGTGTCGTTTATTTCGAGTTCAAGGGGGTTTATCGAATAAACGGAGGAAAAATATAAATGAATATTGTTATTGATAAACGTTTTGGAATCCAGTATAGGTATCGTAATTCAAATTCAATTTGGTTGTTGGATATATCATCAAATTTAAAACTGTCTCCTATTTCATACTTGACCCACATCCAGACAAAATCTTTGACAAAATTCATAATATTTATGAAATTTTGTCACTAATTGAAAGATCGGGGATCCATAAAAGTTGGCCCTTTTAAAGTTCAATCGAGTGAAAAATAATGAGCACTTAAGTTTTTAAAATTTTCACGTCTCCTTAGTACATTTTTCATCAATACACATATCAAGTTTCCAATAGGTATATGCTCAAATAAACAAAATTATGGATTCTGTGTTATGTATGGTATCGCATTACGGCGCGCGAATGATAAAGTCAAAGTGTCTAAAGCAATGTCGCGTTTCATCTTGTTAAAAAAGATGAATAACCTCACCTATGTTCCGGAATTTCACTGATGCATACACCCGAGCCTCCCTTTATTACTCCATAAACAGTCGAGGAACTTATCTTAATGAACTTGAAATAAAAGACATCACAGAATCTGTCCCATCTGTTTCATGTTTCGATGTTTGTTTGTCAGTTTCCCCTATTTATGTGGTAATATTCCACTTTCTGGCATATGGTGTTTATATCTTCCAATTGATTCGGTACAAAAGAGCGTGATCTGAGTACTCTGCATTAGACATGCTACAGACAAAGAGGTTGATGTTACAGTACTTTCAACAATCTCGTTTAAAGTCATTTCAGGAATTAAATTTTCGTTATAATGACATCATTTGCAAATACAATCTATTTTTAAAGCTTATATTGACTAAAATGTTTCCTGTCAAATGTTAAGCCATTGCTTTTATATCAATTTTGACACTACGGATGACTCTGTTTACCTTATCAATACAGAGTGCTCCTGAAGGGTGTGATATGTCGACAAGAGATGCTTACTCGTCCTTATGCACCTGATCCCCCGTCTGGTGCTTCAGGTGGTTTCGTGATTTTCCCTGTTCACATTTCATATTGTTTATAGATTTAAAGAAATTGATAACTGTCCATTGTCTTCACCTTTTTGATTCGAACCATAGTCGGAAAGGGAGAAGGTTAGACAGCCGATATTAAATCTTACATATAAATATATAGAAAAAAAACTTCATCTTTGAAAATCTTCTCAAGAATTGTAGCACGTTGATTAGTCGTTTTAATGTGTGTTAATTTTCAGATAGAGAAAATTCAAAATTGCTAAAATCATGTTATTTGGGGTAATTGGGGCTTCTTAAGAACAACGGTGTTATAGTATAAATTCTATTATTAGTCAAGACTTAATTTTTATTCAAATTATGTTCTGCTGGGCCATTTGGTCGAGGGGGCCAAAGAATTGAATATTATTCAAATAAAGAAGAAGGCACATTTTCAATTCTTCTCTAAAAACAGAAAGCCATAAATACTCATATGAATACATGTATGCAAGTTCCCCAAATGAGTGGTGTTCATTTTTTCAACCTTTTTTTTTTGGCCTCTGGGACCGGGACTAAAGTGGGACTAAATCAGGATAATGTATTTAGGAACTTATTTTTAAAAATCGTCTCCAGAACAGCAGGATCGCGTTGGGGCCAATTTGATATTTATCAACCCCATGTAGTGTCTTCAGATGATTTTCTTATATGACAAAATTCTTAAAGTTTGGCAGCTTTAGCTGTATTACCTCTTAGATCTTCTGACCATCACTACTATTAGCAGTATAATAAGGACCAGGATTCCAATAACTGCTGCTAAAACATACACTAAAACATTCGGAGAGTCTTGCTGAACAACTGAAAGTAGAAACAGCCTTTAACAGAAAAATAAGCTAGATAATATACAGTTTGAAATACTAGTATTCTTTATTAAATGCCGAAGAGGGAGATATAATGCCTATACAAATAAACGTAAAAGGTTGAACATCAGAACTTTTTATGTCCCACCATGAATATGGCCGTGGCATATAGTGTTTGTCATGTCCGCCTTCCCTCTTTTCGTCCTTCCATCTGTCCATAACTTACACTCTGCGTTCACCTCAGTTTTAAAGAAACTATTCAAGATATTTTTTTCAAACCTTGATTGCTAATTTATATTGATGAGAGCTATTCAGTTGCGTCAACATATTTTGACCTTGACAATTCCGTGATATTGACCTCACTTTTCTTCATTTAGTATTTAGCTCAGTTTCAAAAATGTTATTCAATATATTTTTATCAAACTCCATATGCTGAAACCAGGGATGGGGTAATTAAAAAAAGTAATTGTAATTGACTGTATTTAATTACATTTTTTGAAGTAATTGGAAGTAATTTGTAATTGAACATTTTTTCAATTACTTGTAATTGTAATTTAATTAATTACACTGAAAAAATACCATGTAATTTCAATTACTTTTTCAATTACATTCAATTACTTTATATAATACACATTCATGATATATTCATGATATATCGTCACCACTATCTCCCCATTTTACTGGTTTTTATTTTATTGTTAAACATATCCTCAATCCTTCAATTATACAAAATCTTAGGTTCATGCTTACAAAAAAAATAATTAAATGATTGGCTTGATAATAATAAACTAGTTTCTTTCTAATCATCATGTAAATTTTGAATTTTTTTTTATCTATATTTATAAATATGAATTTTAAACCACCCTTCTTAGGTCTATTCAGCTATGAAACACACATTTATTATATTTCAATCTTTGTTGTTTGGTCAATAATAAAGAAAAAAAGGTGTGTGTCGTTAATTAAGTTCTCTCTTACTTGGAAGAGATAATTGCCCTCCAGATCACAGCTTTAAATTGCAATCAAAACAAATCAACTCCTCTAAAGAGATATTCATTCCATGATTTAGAAGACAAAGCCAATGGAGATAATTATTTCAATTTAAAATGCTCCGCTAGCTATAGAAAAGAAAAACTTTCAATTTGATAATTATTTTAACATCTAAACAGATTTTTATGAATGAATTTTCTATCTGTACAATTCTGATTTATGAAGTAAAATTGTACAACATAAATAGCAATTTAGGACGTTCAGGTTACCTTTGAAGGAAATATTTAATTTGAGGGGTTACAGTTGCGACTCATTTCACTCTATTAAAATACTCACTTTTAATCAAATATCATAAGCCATGCAATTTGTGTGGATGTAGGTTTTGTGTGGTGGAAACTGCATCAAACTGATCTCGGATAGTTCTTTAAGAGTTTCTTTAATGTTTTGTAAATAAATGTAATCAATTAAACCAGAATGATACACAATGCCTATAGCATATTATTTCTTGTATTTTTTGTGCAGAGGTTGAGCTTATATACAAATAAATGATGTTCTGTATATTCATTGACAAGGATTATGAAAATTTTCAAAAAAATTAAAAATGTAATTTGTAATTTAATTAATTACTTTTGCAAAGTAATTGTAATTAAATTAATTACATGTCTTAGAAAGCCTGTAATTTAATTGTAATTTAATTGAAGAAAAAGTCAAAGTAATTGTAAATTAATTAATTACTTTATAAAGTAATTGACCCCATCCCTGGCTGAAAAATACTGATGAGAGCTATTCAACTGCATCAATATTTTTTGAGAATACCTTTTTTTGTGACCTTGACCTCACTTTTGTTAATATTTTTTTAGCCCAATTTCAAAGAAACTGTTCAAGATATTTCTATCAAACTTCATATGCTGATATATACTATTGAGAACTGTTCAACTGCAACAACGTTTTTTGACTTTTGGCCTTTCCTTTGACTTTGACATTTCCTGTGACACTGACATCATTTTTATCAAATTTGTGTTTAGCTCAATTTCAAAGAGAGTATTTAAGATTTTTCCATCACACTTTCCATTGATATATATTGATAAGAGATATTCAAGGCATCAACATTTTTTACCTTAAACTTTTTTGTGACCTTGACCTCACTTTTCTTAAATTAAAGAAAGTATTTAAGATATTTTTATTACACTTCATATGCTGGTACATATCGGGTAGAGCTTTTCAATTGCACCAAAATTTTGGAGCTTGGTCTTATCTATGACTTTAACCTTACTATTTTGAAATTTGTTCAGCTCAATTTCAAAGAAATTATTTAAATTAAGTATTTGTATCTACACATAAACACAATGGTAAGAACTTTTCAGCTCTGTCCATTTTTTTTTTATCTGACCTCTTCTATGACTTTACTATTTGTTGTGTTTAAAACTCATTTTCAAAGAAACTAATCAAAATATTTTAATCGAACTTCATATACTAATACAAATTGGTGATAGCTATTCAATTGTATCATAAATTGCTGACCTTAACCTTCCCCATGACTTTGACCTCAATATTCCCCAATTACCCTTATCTTAAACAAAGAAACAAGATACGTTTCTTTTCATTTTGCATAATGATATACCCTCGGCAGGGCATTCATGTCCTATGGACATATTTCTAGTTGCAATATTTATTTGCTATGATTAATAATGTTATGACCACTTTTCAGTACTGATATCTATATGTTAGACGTTTTTATTTAAGATAAGCAAATGAATGCAACTAAAATTTGAAAGTTTACTATACTAGTCTTGTTTCTGTAATGAATTTATTAATCCATAAAATAAATTCATTTCTTTTTTCTCCAGAAAAAGCGTCAAAACTCTGCTCGACAAATAAGAAATTCGTCTCACCCTATAAAAAGGTATGTACCCATCTTGGGCAGAGAGTAAAATTTAAAATAGGTGGGTTTAGAAATGCAGTCTCATTGTTTAAATATTGTAGTGAATAAATAAAATTTGTTTACATTTTATTTTCAATAAAAACTTTACGATTTTTTCCAATGTTATTTTAGAAACAGGTTTTTGTCATTCAGAATCCAAGAATATATTCCGCCAAAGATTAGTATATACCACTTCAAGGTGTAAGACGAATTTTCCAGCCGTCGAGCAGAGTTTTGACGCTGTTTATGGAGATGAAAGAAAATAAAAACCAGCATGCCATATATGGATTTGCAGATAAATTATCGTAAAAGAAAATGGTAATAAACAGTTTACCAGTGTATTTCTTCTGAAAGTGTAAATGAGTGCGATTCTGGGGAGCGGGTTACCCCTTGTATTTCGGAGTTTAGATACCTTTTATTATTATCATACTATGACTTAAAAATTTATTACAGGAACAAGTGCCTGAGGTACTGAGGTAGTTACGTACATTTAATTCTTGCTATTTTGAACTTAAAACGTATTTTATATTCAAAATGAGTTTTTTAAAAAAAAGTTGAATGGATAGAAACGATTTCTTTTATTCATTTTTTGTATAACAAATTTTAGACATATACCCCCATGTTAAGAAAAGCAAAAGCTATTTCCATGCAAACAAATTCAAAATGCTAAACGTTGAATACCTTGTGATTTTGTAGCTTCTGTGGAACTCGGCTTTTTCTTAGTATTTGGATCCGTGACTCCTTTAAGAATGAAGGGTAAGCAAAACTTAAAAACTACGATTTACGAAAAACTACGAAAACTTTGTTCTTGTTGTTGTTCATCATTTGTCATTTCGCATAATATGATTAAACTTTATTTAATAAATGCTGACCATCACCTTGGGTTTCAGCAGAAGAAACATGTCGTTCTGATGTTGTTGTCTGTTCTGTGGGACTTGTTGATTTGTCTGCTGTTTTTGTAAAATGATTTTAATTCATTAAGGAAGTATCAGTGGTTAAAATAATGGCTACTATAATCACAATAAAAACAAATGATGCTCTCCTTTTCTTAAAGAAGTCTTAGACAGGACACAAAACTTCATATGTCAAAATTTCTTTTCATTTTATTACATGTTAATCATTGTTGTACTGAGTTATTTTAATAATTTAAAAAAAATTTCCGTACCAACACCTTGGGTTTCAGCAAAAGAAACACTTGTTTGTGAAGTTCTTAACTGTTCTATGGAACTTGTTGATTTCACCGTTGTAGACTTAGAAGTGGGTGTTGTCGTGCGTCCTGTTGTTGTCGATTTTGTAGTTGTGACGTCACTAACGATGCTCTCCACAGCTGTTTCTGTACTGGATGAGGTTACATCTTCTGAGGAGGATGAAGAAGAGCTTGATTCTTGTGTTGTGATGTTGATTCTGTTTTCTGTAAATGTGAAGAGAAAATCAATTCTTTTCTTCGTAAAAGTCTTGTGTTCGAAGTTCAAAGCTTAAACTTAATTTTAAAAAAAAACTGTCAATCTACGATAAAGGGACCATTCAGGATATATAATATAAAGAACATAGTTGATTCAAATTCCCAAATAAACAATACAGTTTTCCAAAGGACATAGCAGTGCACTTGGAATGTAGTTTTGGTCTTTTATACGTTTTAATAAATGACATTTTCGCATATTTTCACAAAATTGGAGTTTTTCTTCATCTGTATGTATGTTTTTTTTTTCAAAAACAAGCTGTGAATAGACAGAATTGTTTTCTCTAACTACAGAAAAATTTGTGGATATAAAAAAGAATTATCCACTAGCCTGGTATGGTTTTCATTTTTAACAATTTCCAGTCATAGGGCATTGTAGCGGGAGTTAATGCTTAAACATGATTCATTATTATTGAAATAAACCTGAAACTGACCTATAATTTGTTTTCTTATGTTGAGTATAGAACAGTAAAACATGATTTATGATTTTTAAAACCTTGCACAAATCTGGTCTTTCGGGAAGGGGGGGGGGGGATCATTACGGATGTTAATTTTCAATAAAAAAAAAAAAGTTATAGTTCTCGGCAATAAATATAAATAACGTTTATTTTAAGATTTTAGTCAAACGTATTTAGTATTTTGTTCCAAAATTAAAACTTTTTTTCTACATCTTAAATGCAAAAAAAAAAAAGAAAAAAAGAAAAAAAGAAAGAAAAAGAAAGAAAGAAAGAAAACGAAAAGAATCCAGTTCATCGTTATGTAAGTTAAATTCTTAGGAGAGACAACAATTTTTTCTAGTCTATTTTGTAATATTAAAAAAGTAATTGTCTTAATCAGTACTATCAAACCAATCTACAAAAATAAGAGTGATCCAACTCTTAAGTTGTCTGGGTTAACTTTTTACGAGTATTTTGAGTTATCGTTTAGAGAATTATGCAGATGTAATACTTACTGAATAAAGTCAGACTGGGTTCAGAAAAGGGTAAACTAATTAAAAAATACTATTACTACAATTTCTGCCTCATAGACTCATTAACAGCAGAAAATTATTTGTGAATGTAAATCATATATGGTACCAATTTTGATGCACCAGATGCGCATTTATAGATTTTTAGCAAGCATGTGGTACAGTTTGGCAAGATGGTCTCTACTCAAGGCCTGTATATAAAGACATGGGTGTTTTTGACTGTGTTTCTTGTTGATGTTGTTATTAAAATGCTGATTGTGTCAGTATTTGAAATCAAGGAAAAGACTACATCGGTAACAGATACAGCAAACTTAGTATCTCTACGTCATTCAGTTGTTTATGGAGGTGAACACGGTGTTCATGTTCAGAGTGTGAAAAATTATTTATCTCTCATGAAAATTTAGGAAAACTACTGTAAAATTTAACACACTAAATCACTATTAAACCAAAACTCAATTTTCTGCGACATGATACCATTTCGTATGATACAGGTTCTATGCATTTCCATGCGAGAAAATTTATGTTTCTCTTTTTATATAGGAAAAAATACTTCAATATTATTATTTTTTGTAATTAACTCGAAACGCTTTTGCGCATAATTTATGCAATAAACTCGAAAAGCTTTTGCAAGTGAAAGAGTATGCTGATGTTTAGAGTTGAGTTTAAATTATAGATAATATGATATAACAAAGGTAAATTTGTTAGCGTCCTACAAACTTATTATTTGATCACGTTTTCGTAGAATGTCTGAACACTAAATAATGTATATATAATATCTATTTCTCCGGAAAAATTAAGGAATTGCAGATTTTTGTTGAATTTATATTTTGTGACAAACAATTTTCATCCAAAAAAATTATAACAATGAATAATGAATATATAAAGAAATTTAAAAAAAAATTAAGTAGAAAGTACATTTTCATTATAATTTAGTTTATTATTTTTTATCCTGTTTAAATTCCATACCAACGCAGTAGGCACTGGAGCAGGCGTCTGTCTGCTTGAGATGGTAAACCCGGTAGCTTCCACAGTTTTTAACATGAATTGTCCACTTTCTGGAACAGCAGCCATTATAGTCAGACAAACAGGCTGTGCGAAACACCATACCATCAGAAACGGACGGAACAGTGCCTTTAATAAAATTGTACAGGTTTAAATTACAAGTAGCTTTATGTAAAATTCAATGAACTCCATTTATTCCAAACATTTTAAATATCTGAAGTTCTTCCCCAAAGTCCTGATTGCAAAAAATCAAGAATGGGGCAAAACATTCAAATATCCAAAACTAAAATATAAATAATCAACTTGGAAATAACTAGATTTGGTAGAACCGACACAATCAAAAAAATGTGATCTAGAAGTCGAACCTTACCGTACATCCACACGGGAAACACGGTTCCACACTGCAACATAGCTGGACAAGATGTCGGTATATCTGCACCGTCGTCCACTCTGTACCACTGTTCAGTGATAAAATTATCACAAAGACCATATTCACTGGTTTGTAGGTGATGAGACGGACACCTTTTCTCTTGAAATCTCAGTACATTGCTTGTCGTGCACGGATCCAATCCTGTTTTCAAAAATGCTTAATAGTTAGAAAAGAAAGAACTTTGCACCAGAAATTGAATCACTTGTCCCCTCGTAAAAGAATGCTACCAAAAAAACCTTAAGAAATGACAACTCTGTAAATCTTGATATAAAATTTTGAAAAATGAAAGTATTTGCAGCCTGAAAAATTCATTTGTCTTAAATATTTCGTAATGCTGTTTTGGAGAATGGATATAATGGTCTCTCTCTCTCTCTCTCTCTCTCTCTCTCTCTCTCTCTCTCTCTGGAACTTAATCTTGTATAACTTTCGAGGTCAATCTTCATACTTCATTTTTAGTAAAATGATTAAGAACTGGGTCCTATACTAAAACTGTGAATTTCTTGCTCCTGGGGTCAGGCTAGGTTGTAATGGTGTTCTTATTAGTCCCCTACCAGTGAAACCGTAGGGGACTATAGGTTTCCTCTGAGTTTGTCCGTCCGTCTGTCCCACTTGGTTTTCCGCACTTTTTCCTAAACGCTTGCAGATATTGGGCTGATTTTTGGTATGTGATTGTATCTTGATGAGTTACAGATCAAGTTTGCATTTCGTTCCGCTTCATTGATTTTTGACGGAATTATGACTTCTTCAATTTTTAAGGGTTTTCCGCAATTTTCTTCTAAACGCTTGCAGATATTGAGCTGATTTTTGGTATGTGACTTTACCTTGATGAGTTTTAGATAAGTTTGCATTACGTTCCGCTTCATTGATTTTTGACGAAATTATGGCGTTTTCAATTTTTAACGGGAACCAGATTACACTTGCCGATAGGGGGGCTAGTATTGCTAATGCAATACTCTCAGAATGCTTGTTTGAAAAGGCCTTTTCCTGACTACATAGTGGACAAACTAATAAAGCTAAGGCAAGATTATATTATTGATTTATAAGCACTTGATCAACATTATATCTGTGGATTCTGAATCAGAATTACATGGCCCAAGGTCACAAGAAAAGGAAGTGTTCTTCACAAAAATTCTCATATTTCTTATGCAAAATTTGTACATGAAGCTCAATTAAACAAAAGAAAACAAAAATAATGAATAAAGGGAAAGTCTGACATGATAACCTGTCCTTCCAAAAAACTATGTTATTCTGTAACTCAATTACAGAATAACATTACGTACACTCTCCAACTTGACGAAAGGGTTAAGTGATTCAGGGTCAAGTCACTGGTAGGAAAGTGAAGGTTTTTCGTTAGTTAAACTAATATTCATAACATGAATAACAAGTTACATCACATTTTATTTTTGTGGTGCATTATTTTACAGAATGATATTCTTAAATGCTAGCTTAGAAAGTGTAATATATACATGTAGTCATGCCAGTCCAATTTTGGAGCTAATTTTAGATCTGTCAACGTTGGAATTACCTCTAGAATAGCCGTTTTCAATTCCCTGACACCCTTTGAATAACTGGTATTAGTTTAGAGAATCAAGAATAGAGTACAATGTATACATATTATAACTTTGGGGCACAGGGAGTATCATAAGGATGCAGTTGAATTTTAAACAAAAGTTAAAATTTGAATTCTTTCAAATAATTATTTCTAAACTATGAAAAACGGGGGAGAAGGAATTACAACAATTTAAAATGTAATTCAAATAAGAAGATTTAAACCACGAATATTCATTCCGAAAAATATTGGACACGTTTTTTTTTTTACATTGATAAGCTTTATAATGAATGAATTTCGGTTTATATCCCTTAAATACACAAATATCGAAATTGAACAGATTTATTTCCTTAAGCATAACAGTCAACTTCCTTGCACGATTCGTGAAACCGAATTAAAAGGCAATGAATAGATTGTACATTTAAACTGTGTACAAAGACACTGCTATGTAATTATGTAAAGAAATCTTTTTAGTTGATACACCGCTAGTAAAAGTATTTAATAGACAGTAGTTTTCTTGCAAGATGATATGCATATTATGAATTTCAAATCTAAAATGGGAGACCGAATAAAATTCAGTGGTGTGGAACTGCATATCATGTTGCCAAAAAATTTTTGACTTATTAACACGTCTTTGAATTCTTTTCCCCAAAATTACAAAATGACCATCAATAATAAAATAATGTATTTTGACAGACATATAATAAAATAATTAGACTTTAAATAATCGAGAAAACGATTTCTAGTTTATAGGGCTTTAAAGTCAAAAGGTACATTTTTTTTTTAACCGATTTAAACGGAGAAAAAAGTTTTTCAAAAAGCTATAAACTAAAAAAAAAATAACTTAAATAAATAAATAAAATAGTTATAAACTAAAATAAATAACTTGCTTTATTAATTAAATTGAATACTCAGTAAACGATTAAAAAAAAATATATATATATTTTTTAAAAAGTCATGTTTAAAAACGAGGCACCTGTAGGATTCTTATTATGCTTTTCTTCAAATTGCTGGTTCTCTTTGCGTACAGATGTGAAATTTTTTGAAAATACCTAAACAATTTCCGACGAACTTCATTTTTTATCCCTTAAAAAATAAGAACTGAAGAAAGTATTTTCAGTAATTTTATATGGTGTGTTTCCAAAACACAATTTTCTATGTACATTTTATCCATTTCTAATACCTAACTTATTAATAGTTATTTATATATTATTTGTAATAAAATAGCACATCTACATCCATTTAAATAATATATATGAATAGATGTAATATGTTTACCTTCTATATGAGTATTTCCAAAGGTAAGTAATAGGAATATAGACAACCTTCCTTCCATATTTCTAACATCAGAAGAAAGAGCTCGGAAATTGGAGGTCCCACTTCCTTGTTCGACGAAAGAACTATTGTACACTGTCCATTTAAACTACATTTTTATTTAAAAACGATAAGTAGATTAAAACGGGTACAAGGCTATTTAAAAATAAGAATTTCGACTCGTTGTGAATCACCTGTTTGAGGTCGTTTAATTTTTTTACAGCAGTGAAATATTCACGTTCTGGAACAGTGGTTACATTAATTTGCATGTTAATTATCCTCGTGATCGATGCAATTCCTTTCATTCAAAAACACATATTACGACATATACGGGAAGGTACCAAACTGTGTACATGGTCTGGTGCATATAAATCTCAAAGTCTTCCTGCATGGAGATCATGCAATTAAAGTAAAGGTTTTATTTCAAATTCCCTAAAATCTCGACTACATTGTCCGTCACCTATTAAAGAAATCTAAAAACTTCATATGAAAGTATATTATTCTTGTAATCTTTTATCTATTCGTGTTCGTGTATTTAAAATTAGAGATTTCGCAGGTTTATCAGAGTAAATGTTTGGCTGTTTCACTCAGTAGTTAAGTACTAGTAAATGAAAAAAAAAAAATTATTCTTCTTTTTTAATTAAAACTTTTCAAATGAGAACATTTACGTGTATTTTGCAATGTTTAAGTCTCCTTGGATGCGTTATATACCGATACAGTGTCACTTTCAAGGCCTAAAAAAGTTACTTGATAGAAAAATTCCTCTCTTACTTTTTTTCTAATATACAAATAACATGAATAAAGGTTTATAAAATGAAAGCTATGCCGACTTGATACAGGAAAAATGCATGCAAATATGCACATTGAGAGGCAAAATAACTAACAAAATAAAAAGGAAAATCAGATTGTTTACTTTTGTACCTCAATATCAATTTCGAAAATCACAGATACGAACTTCCGCCTTTGAAAAATAAAGAGATGGGTGAACAAGGAGAGAAAAAATACCTACGGTTCAACAAATAAGAAAGTGAAAAATAAAATTTTAATTATAAAATTTTTTTCTTTGACATTTCAGTTAACATTTATGTATACTTTATGTAAAATCTGAACTCAGTTTGGAACAATCTCACAAGTATTAAAATTATTCGTCAATGAAATCATGCACACGCAAAAGAGGGTAAAAATGATCAGTTCTTCATACTTCGCTCCAATTTATTGAAAGAATATCTTCAAAGTATGCCAAAAATATTTTTTTTTTTTTTTTTTTTTTTTTTTTTTTTTTTTTTGCTTTACAAAAACATAGAGCATGAGCCCACTCTACCTTAGAAATACACCTTAGTATCTTTCCGAGAAAAAGTCCTTATTTTTTTTTAACCATAGAATAATTTTTGCAAGGAGAATTTTCCACAGGGAAGGTTTGCTTGTGATGCTTTCAAATCTTTCAATAATAAGAACTTTGCTCTAAAAACTTAGTTCACCGATTGGATTGGATTTTTATACATTTGAAGCTAAAGGCATTCATCCATCTTCTTTGTATTCTTTGTATTTTCTGTTCAAACTACATTTTTATAGGTTTAGTTCGTAATCATCTTTTTATCCATCCCGGTATTTTGACCTTAATCAGTCTGGCAAATAGTCCTTTGCTTAATTTCTTTCTTTCTTTTTTTTAATTCGAATAAAATTTGTTACATCATGTACAGATTGGCAGTGGAACAATTTTTGAATAATGAAACACATTACAGTTATAGATGTGTAAATAAATTTTGAATGAATCATCTGGTTTGGTACGGAGTGAAACTTGACATTCTGTGGTCTAGAACAATGGAATATTATACTGCATACTAATTAAAACATTAGTTGACGTGATGCTATCTCTCTTTTTTTTAAATTCAATAACACTTTAGTCACCTTTGTTGTTTTAAAATTTTGCATTGCGTCTGCCGATTATATTATCTAAACCGATACCATTAAACTTGATATTGTATTAAAAATATGAATAGGCAGAACCCCCCCCCCCCCCCCCGAAAAAAAAATTGTCAGAGTATTTTCAGTTTAAGGGAAGAGCTGTATAATTATGTACGAATATATACATTGTACATGTTTATCGTTATTCACATTTAATCACAATCCCAGATCCTAGAAATGAAAAACACAGAGTTAGAATAAGAATTCTATTTTAAGGACACACTAAAACAAGAGGCCCATGGGTCACAACGCTCGCCTGAGTAACTATGGCCCTGCTGTTCTTCCTATGTTAAACTTTGATTGTATGTACATCGTGGCCCCACCCTACCTTAGGGTCGCAATTTTAACAAATTTGCAACTACATTACCTGAGGATACCTTTGCTGTTCTTGAGGAGATTTTCAAAGATTTTCCCCTATATATTATTATACACCACTTTGATCATCTATTTCGGCCTCATCCTACCCCAGGGGATTCATGATTTGAAAAAAAACTTCAATCTACACTCTTTGAGGATGGCTCCCATATCTGTATGACTAATCATGCCTTTGCTGTTCCTGAGAAGGTTCCCCTATGCGTGTACTTGTATATTACTTGGTAACGCTTTAATTACCTAGTGATCCTTTGGGGTCATGATTTAAACAAACTATACTCTACACTACATGAGAATGCTTCCATATGAATATGACTCTATTATCATGGTTTTGCTGTTCTTGAGGATATTTAAAAAAAAATTGTACTATATATTCCCATGTAAAACTTTGATTACCTATTGTGACCCCAACCAATCTCAATGGTCATGATTTAATCAAACAAACTCCAATGTACACTTTGTTTTGAAACTTTCACATAAGTTTCAACTCTTTTGGTTGAGAAGTTCATGAGATTTATTCCCAAAACTTTGATCACTTACTGTGGTCCCACCACACATCTTGAGGTCTTGATTTAAACATGAGGCCCATGGGCCACAACATTTACCTGGGTCACTATGGCCCTGCAGTTCTTCATCAGCATTTTTTCCTCTAATATATTCCCTTGTAAAACATGGATCACATACATGTTGAAATTAATTTTGGTCCCATCCTAACCACAGGGCTCATGATTTGAGCAAAGTTAAATCTACACTATTCAAGGATGCTTCCATATGAATATGACTAATCATGGCTTTGCTGTTTTTGAGAAAAAGATTTTATTTTAAGATTTTTCCTATTTTTTCCTCTGTAAAACTTTGATCACCCATTGTGGCCCCTCACTAGCCCCAGAAGTCAAAATTTGAACGAACTTGAAGCTACACTATCCCAGGATGCTTCCATATGCTGTTTTTTTTTTTCATTATTCTGCCCGTTCTTCAGAAGATTTTTAATTTTTTTTTCTATATATATACCTATTTAAAACTTTGATCACCTGTTGTGGCCTCATCCTTAATAAATATAGCCCCAGGGGTTATGATTTGAACTTGAACCATTATGTAATGAAGCTTTCACACAAGTTTCATCTTTTCTGGCCCAGTGGTTATTGAGAAGATTTTTATATGATGCCATTAAATTTTCACTAATTCTTAATCATCTCCCCTTGAAAGAGGTTGTGGTCCTTCATTTGAGCAAAGTTTACCAAATGATGCATTATGGTAAATTTGGTTGAAATTGGCCAAGTGGTTCAGAAGAAGCTGGAAGCGTGAAAAGTTAACACATGACAGATGACAAATGAAAGACAATGGACACTCTTCGATCAGAAAAGCTCACTTGAGTCCTTGGCTCAGGTGAGCTAAAAAACTCACCTAATTTTTCAACTCAGGTGAGCTTATAAAATGGATGTATGGATTGGTATAATTTTTTGGATTTGTTTGTAAATTTTGCTTATTTCAAATCTCTAAAATTTGAAATTTAATATTTAGGAATTGTAGACTTCATTTCTATGATGTTCAAAGTTCTTCCCTTATAAATCTATACAATATTTTTTATCACTTTAGTGGACATTGATTTTTGAATGAAAAATAGAAACTCTTTGCAATCAATCTTATCCACATTATCTATAAACAAAATTTCATTTTATTCATGACTTTTTAAGGATAAATAACACAAACTTTTTTCACAAATACAGCATATTTCTCATAAATTCAAATTCAAATAGTTATCCTGAATAATGTTTGCCAAGTAAAGTGGAGAATTTTGTAAGATTTTGTCAGGAAGTTAAAAATGTGTAAAAATAATTGTATAGAATTACATACAAATGACACTCGCATGCCTAAGTACCAAAGAAAACTTACAGTCTCTTTATATTTTGGGATTTATTGTTTATGTCATTTCTAATCAAAATCTGTAGTCCAAAATATATATCAATCCATGCATCAAATTTTTGTTTGTGTTAAGTATCCTTAAGAAAAGTTTGTTTGCAGCATCTGTCCTTAATTCTTAGGTTTCAGCTGAAGTGTGAAACTTGTGTGATTTTTAATCTTTATGCATATTCTGCCATAAATAACAAGTTTTAAATTTCACTTTTCTTTTATTATAAATAGTATTAGGCTTATAAATACAGCACTTCTTCATCTATACATAAACAGGCCTTTCATTCATCACAAAATCAATTAGTTCAGCACTTATAATGATTACAAAATTTACACCAAATCAGTCCAATTTCAGTATGTTTTCTAAATCCAAGAAAATTCATCAATCTTTATCATTAAAATGACATTCACATATGAAAAATAAGTCCAATTTTCCTCTCTTATAATTAGAATGAAATAAAATATTATCAGTAACATTTAAAATTAGTGCACAAAATTTGGTCATTAACAAAATCTTTCCAATTATACTGCAGTAATTGGAGTCACATATTCTCACATTTATACATTCATTATTCATACATCTAAAATAAAAATTGATGAAAACAAACAATAAATTATGTACAATTGAACTTCGTTATCTCAAACACCATTTCTTGAATACCTGGGATATGTTGAAATGATTTGTTAGTCCAAACCATTTTTCTTTATGTTTTTTACCCCCAATGCAATATCTGAAATCCTCGGATAACTCGAAGTTTTATCTTGATCCCTTTGAGTTCAAGATAACGAGGTTTGACTGTACCCTACAAATGAGTGGAGCTGCTGTGTAAAAACTACACTGAAACTGGTTTAGCCCTGATTTTTACTGGTTTAGCCCTGATTTGTACTGTATTTCATTAAATACCACTGAAAATCAAGTACAGAAGTTATGTAAAAAAAAATATACTAATATTGACTATACTGATTTGTACTAATTTTACCTGCATGTCTTGAAGTTACTAGTATAGTAAAACACATATATAGCGATGTGGTAGGGACAAAAAAATTTGATTTATAACATAAATATAATTTGTTACATCAATTTCCATTTTAAAACCATGGGGAATGAAAACCACTCTGCTGTAAATGTGAATTAATTGTGTGTTCAATATAACTATGTTTTACTGTACCTGAATGACTACTGTGGATTAAAATACAACGTATATCCTAAACTTCAAAAAGTTTTCCAAAATCTTTGGTACTATCAAGAGCTTTTTCAAAGATAAAAACATTTTCAGACAAATTACTATGCCCTATTGAAACTAAGTAAGTAGATTTAAATTTATTATACCAGTAAGATAGAATGATGTGATGCTTACTATGAATATTCTATTGAATATATAAACTGATCTACTGATTGAGAGAGTTTGGTAATTTTCAAATTTTCTACACTTCATTTTCATGGGATAGATCCCATCTCCAATATTTTGTGATTTCAACACTTCATTTTAATTTGAAAGATCCCTCTTCAAACATTTGTGAATACCTTCCATTAATAAAACTGCATTCTTATATTAAGACTCATGCTTATACGCATGTATGTCACTTTTGTTGATACATGTACATGTATCTATATCTAAATGAATTCTCATAATTTCAATACTTTTGTTACTGAATTTGAATAATTTTGTAATCTTACACATGAACATCAAACAAGATTTTCTTTCTTATTCAATCAAATATCACATGTATGGAAAACTGAGTTTATGTTACATAAAGGAATATGAGTTTATGTTACAAATCTGAAATTTCCCCCTCTTCTGAGCCCCCTCCATCTGATATGTCTGATAAGAAATTGTTCAATGAAGTGTGGACTGGTGAGTGTACTTTGGTGCTTTGAGTCTGACTGGCAGAGGTAGCAGGCTTGTTGGTGGATTTAGCTGAAGACACAGACTGGAGTAAGTTGATTTGAGAGTCTGTGGAGCTGTCAGAGATTGGACTCAGACACAGATTCCCCTCGGATATCTCCTGGATAAGATTTCCCCCCATATCTGGGGGGCTGGCGGGGATATCCCTGCTTGTCTCCGGCCTCTCTCTGCTATCAGTAATCTGTGTTACTGTGGAGGACTTTTTCTTGTGCCCTGTAGGATGTTTCTTGTATTTCACAGGTTCAGCAGCAGTGCTTGTGGCACCATCAGCAGGTTTCATTGTGTGCTGGACTGGAGCTGGTGCAGTTTTTGGTTTACCTACAGCGATGATTTCAAAATCTGAATCAGAAGAAATATAGGTGGTCTTATGCTTTTTATGCTTCTTGTGCTTTTTGTGCTTCTTTACTTTTTTGGACTTTTTGCTTCTATGCAGGTATGAGTCCTCACTACTGGACCTATATGATGACCTTTTAGGACGTTCATATTCTGCATCTATCACTCGACTGTATGACCTTCCATAATCCCATTCCCTCCGATCTTCTAAGAGTCGTGGTCTGGACACTCTAGAGTAATACTCATCCTCATAGGTTGGTCTACTACTTGGATAATATCTATCTTCATGATAATAAGTTTCATACCTTTCTCGTGACCTTGATCTAGTTCTGTATCGCTCACGTTCTCTAGATCTATGTTTCTTGTGACGTTTCCTTGGATGATGAGTATGTCCTCTCTCTCTTGATCTTGATCGACTGCTAGACAAATCATATCTGTGGCGATGGTGGTCATGCCTATATCTGGACTTTTCTTCAGATCTTTTGGCTAAAGTCCTTTCATCATGTCTGGATTTACTTTTTTTCTTTTCAGTCTTTGAAGACTGTTGGGCCACTTGTTCATCATCAGATCCTGAGGAAAGAAGCACTGCGGGACGTTCTTCCCATGGATTTTCTATAGACACAAAAATGACATCACTTCCTATAGAGGACTCTGAATCACTGTTTTCTATTTTGATAGTGGCCTTCCCTGCACCACTGAATAACTCTGTAAGCATGGGAGGGAAGACTGGAATTCCGCCCTTTTTCTTTGGTGGTGGCAGTGGGTCCTTCTCTGTTGATAATGTAACAGTGGATGAAGTTGTAGATACATTGGGTGGTGTGGGGGGAAGTGGTATCTGATTTAATTCTCCTGAATCACTGTTGGTGTCCATCCACGATGGTCCTGGTAATGGGGAGTCCCAGCCAGAAGAAGTTAGCCTTGAAGGGTGGGGCGGTGGCTCCTCCAGAAATTGACGGACCCTATCCAAAATTGGGGTGACATCATGGTTATTACTTAGTCTGCGTTCAGCAGGTGGTTCCTTGGGAAGACAGGGTTCCTCAGGATATGGTTCTGGTGGCAGGGGTGGTGCTTGAGAAGAGGGTTGTGGTGGTGAATCTCCAACAGATAGGTCAATGGGGTCAGCACTAGATCCTCCTTGATCAATAATAATGACATCATCATCATCTCCTTCCTCATCCTCTGTGGTGTCCCCTGCTGATATTACTTCAACGGGTTGTGGTTCATACACTACATTCTGATCATAAGCACCTATATTGTATGGACTTTTGGCAAAAAATTCAAACTCATGCATAAACTGTCTTGTGTGACGACCAAGGTGAGGATAAACATGATGGTAAAAATCTTCACTGTTGATTGGAAAGGTTTTAATAAGTCCTAAAATATAGTCTAATAGGAACTGATCATGTCTGTTGTCATCATTCATTAAGGCATTTAGTTCCCGATTTAACCAGGGAACCAGTCTGTGGAGAGTTGCTGGATTCCTAGTGAAGAACTCTGGAGTTACATCCCTTTCTCTCAATCTCTGATCTTGAAATTGAACTGCTCTTAATCCATTGGTGTACACACTTCTTCTGAAGTCTGATGTAGCATTTTCTCTATGTCTTCTCCATACAGAGTGTGTTCGTGTGGTTGTTCGAGAGGGCCTCATTAAAGTATAGTCATGTTCTATATGAGATCTGTCTGCCTGGGGAAAGTCCAGCATTAACCGTCTCTCAAGAGTTAATGTTGTTCGATACCTGAACCTGTGGTGTGGGTTCTCAGCTTGAGCAGTGTTCTGAATGTCAGCAACACTAATCTGTTCATATTGTTCATAAGATAAAACATTAAATAAGATACTTTTGTACTTCTGTTTGCATAGAGGACACTCTGGTTTCACTTTTGTCCATTCTTTCAGACATGTAAAACAGAATTGGTGAAAACAGCTGTCTGTGAAAGAAGTGTTATCCAGTTTTCCAAGACAAATAGGACAGCCTCCATCTGGCGACCCTGCATTTGATTTGCGACTACTTTGCCCATTGTCTGCTGTCTTTTGTTGGCTCTCAGTCGTCAGGGTCCCCTCACTTGACTTCTTCAAATCTTTTCTATGCTTTGTCTTCTCACTGCTTTTCTTTTTATGGCTTTTACTAGACTTCTTTTTCTTTGTCTTTTCTTCCTCCATTTTCATACAATGTAGCTTTAATCTGAAAGTGAAATAACATTCCTTTAGGGACATCTACATTTAGAAATTATGATTCAGTCCTTTTTAAACACATACCAGAATAAGAAATAAAATTATACTTCATAAAAATTTAAAACAAGAAGCCAATAGGCCACAACCCTCAACTGCACAATTTTTTCTGAGGAATAATTATGTAAATGAAACCCCTTCATTGAGGCCCCAATAGACATTTTCATGTTTTCAAAAACTTTCATGTATAGTTTATTGATTGTTGTTATTATTGATATTTGTTGTCACAATTTAAGTCACAGTTTTTGTGTCCACTCTATTACGGGGCGGGACACTTTGAGAATTTTTTTTTTATGAATATACGTAGATGTAGATGATATTATGGGATTAATGTGATATCTGTAATTAAATTCTATGGGAACTTTGACCAAAATTCAGGGGGTTTTGACCATTACTTGAGTAAACTAGGATTTGTAAGAGTTTTTTCCAGCATGATGGAATGGATTTTCTGTATATTCCAAATAGGGCACTTTGACAAAAATTATGGGCCACTTTGACCAAAACTTTGGGACATTCCTGTAAGAATATTATATATATTATTATATATATATTATAAGAATATTATATAGCTTCACATATTTCTAAAATTTTGGGGGTGTTTTAACAAAACGGGGGGAAATTTTGTAAGATTATTTTTCTGTGAATTATAATACAAGGCAATCTGAAAAATATTTAGGGATGGTTTCTTAATGATAAATTTCTATCAAATTATATCTGAGGGCAGTTTGATAAATTAAATTTAGGGAGCTCTTTGAGCGGAGCGGTTTTCTTAGGGGGCACATTGACTTGTATTTGTTTATGGGCCAGGCAACTCTGATTCCTGCATGTCACTGCAGGGGTTGCAAGGACCAGGGGACATCACCATCTGAGAGTGAATGCTGGACAACTTGCCCCCTATTCAGTTGTCTCTTTAATAGGGGCAGGCTGTAGAACGTTTTATCGTTAAAATGATATTGTCCTACAGACCCGGTTTAACAGTAGAATTCGTTCTGTGTATTGGCAATGTAGCAAAATAAACATGGGCGATAACTCGAACTCTGTGCATTTTCTATGAACAATCCAGAGAGTTTCAAATGTCAACATGGTGTGTAAATTCGAAGTGAGGAAAAAACGTTGAGAAAATGAGTTGAATTTTCGTATTTATATGGATTATTTTTTTAGGTTAAAAGTTATATACAAATGCAAAAAGGTTTGTTATGATTAATTTGTTATTATTTTCAGTGCAACTCCTTTTGTATATTTCAAAATCATTTCGGAGCGGATCTACTCCGATTTGCTACATTGCAAGTATATGGGACATATTTTAACTGTGGTGAGGGCTTCTCCAGAGACACAGTAAGATTATTCTAACTAGGGCCAGGTGTCTTAAACTGGGGGCAAGCTGTCTTTAATAGTGTTGGGGTGAGCTGTCTTGCAGGCGAGTTCTCCCGATTCCCCGAGGGCAATAACATCACCCATTGATGTATTTAAATACTCATTCTTCCCAAGAACAATGAGGCAGGGGAACAACCTCTACTGTAAAGCCCTAGCTTAACTCTGGACTACTAGCTGTTTCTTTTAAACACTAGCTTCACACATTTTAGCTTCCCTGCCATGCGCCTGAGTATAAATGCTCTTTGAAGAGCCCAGATCAGTACCTATTATAGCGAGCGAGCGGCGAGCGGCGCAAAGCACTGCTCATTACTGCGAGCTCTAATGACAACGCTTGGGCGAAGAGCAAATTCGGACTACTGCACATTCATTCAATAGAATTTTTTTTCCGCAGTAATTCTGGACCCACAATGCATCGCTTGTTGTTCTCGCTGCTAACTTCATTCACATGGTAACAACAACTAAAAATTCACAAAAAATAAACTGACCTTAATTTAATGGACATTGCATACAGATAGTATATTAAACATTCTTTGTTAAAATTTTTGCACTTTTCAAACTTTGTTTATGGAAATGCAGCTAACATACAACGTCATCATACTCATGTGACGTCACAGTCTAGACGTTCCAAATGCCTCATGCAGTTTGAAGAGGTGGATCTTAAAATCAAGTGAAATCAAAAAAATATGTGTGGTTCCGGTTACACCTCCAAAAAAATTAGGGTAGGTAGGTAGGGTTATTTTTTTATTTTTTTTTTTTTTAAAATGATTTTCTTAATTTTTTCTAAATAATACCTATCACTGCTTTGCAAATGACATTAAAATCTGGTGTGATAATATACTAGTCAATATTGGTAGGGGACACCTAAATGCTAGCTTGCTTTGGATTTAACACTATTAAACACTTGCACTATGTTGTGCAAGGAGGCCGTCAATGCTAAAACTTAAACTGGAGCCATTGATGAAAATTGGGGAAAATTCTGGAAAAAATATGAAAATTGCCAAAAAAAAGTTTAGGGTCGGGGATATAAAATAGGGACGGTCGAGTAACCGGAACCACACATATTTTTTTTATTTGGCCTGAACAATGCGCTCGCCCTAACAGTTGCACCGTCAACATATTAAAGAAGGGAAAATTGTGTTGATGACTATGACTATGTCATCGTACTGTATAATTCTTGAAAAGGTGTGTTCTTGTTTATCTTAATCTTATACAATGTACGTGTACATAGATATTGTATTTGTTGTTGTTTTTTTAGACATGTGTTTGAAGACAACTTCTCAATGATTTTATTTCCACAGAATTACTTACACTAAATAAGCTTTTCATATTAAGTAAAAGAATACTATCTTTGGATTAAGTTAGTCATACGGGGTCAGTTTTGTCATTAATCGGTAAACGTGTCGAAATAGAAAAAAAAATACATTATATAAGATTTTTTTTAACTTGCTCTGATAGATCTAGATTACCTTGAACATTAACAAGTAGTCTACAAATAGGATTAACGGTTTCTTTGAACAATTCTTATCAAACAGAATTGTTATGTCCTAGATCTAGTTGTTTTCGTTGTCGAAACTTCTTTAAACCGGAAGCAGATTGTACAATCGAAGAACTTTAATTAGCTTTTACAATGTTGTTTCTGTGTGCTCAATAGACAAATAATCAGTAGATACAGATATATGTTTTTTGAATTCATGTCAATAGTCATGTCAAATATTAATATTTTAGTTAATTATTTCATGACGAACTTTGCAATCTTAAAAATTATTCTTTCTACTTTCTATATAAAGATAATGAGGTCGACTTATCTAAAGTTTGATCCAACGGAATAAGCTGAATTTACTCTGTTTAAAAGTTGTTTATATTCGACATGTTCGAGTTGCGACATGGAATATGGATTCCTTTTTCCTTTATTACTTTTTAAAATATTATTTTCATAATATTCCGATCAAAAATCGAAGTAAATACTTGGTAAGTAAATAAACGAGTTGTAAGACTTTTTTGGCAGATACCTCATTAATCGGTTATTGAAATGACATCTTATTGTACATTATTCCTTTAGTATTTTTACAGATTCTATTGATAATTATTAAGCATTAATGTAGTAGAAAAGATTTATCACTAATAAGTACATGTAAACATGACTACATGACATGTGTAACAGGAGAGAAGAAAAATTCGATGAACCAGACCTGGATTCGAACCCTGGTCCCGTGAAGCTGCAGTCAGGTGCTCTACCAAATGAGCTATCTGGCCACCGGCGCCAGTGATCAAACTTGTCTGACAGCCACACCTGTATCTGCATTTCCACCGATGATCAAACCCGTATAATTTCATGAGCCACACACACACATATATACATGTGTATTTTCACATTCATCCCTCCTTAAAGGTCTTCGGCCCCAAAAGACACAAACACAGGCTCTTTCCTGGCAAGTCTTTCACCTGACACTTAGGGCATGACATAGATAGAACATTCTATCATTAAAATGATATTGTCCTACGGACCAGGTGGTGATCGAGGGCTTGTCCCGAGACACAGATTATTCTAACTAGGCATGACATGGCACCAAATGTAACAGGAGAGGAGAAAAATGCATGAACCAGCCTGGGATTTGAATCTAGGCCCCCTGAATCTCCAGTCATGTGCTCTGTCAACTAAGCTATCCGGCCACTGCCGCCAGCAATCAAACCCATCTGACAGCCACATATGTATCTTCATGACCCATGACCACTGATGATCTAACCTGTATGAGAGCCACACACACATACATATATATATATATATATATATATATATATATATATATATATATACTTTTATTAACAATATTTTTTTAAATATGCACAGGTGGCTCATCTAATGGAGAAAATAGATAAGATATATTTACTGTCAGTTGACCACAGAATATTCAAAGCAATCAAGAAGATGTAGAACAAGAATAAGTTTAATTTTTTAACAATTAATCTGATCAAGGTATTCCAATTTTTTAGAAAAAAAAATAAGAAACTGTAATTGAACAATGGAGGTATTGTGGATTTAATGTAATTGATAAATAAACAATTATTTGTTTAACTTGTAAACTCGCTCTCATTTTACAAATAATTTTGATTGACTAAAACAAGACAGATTTATGAACTCTCTATTAACAATTTTCAAAAGGCTTTAAACTATTGTTTCCGTAAGATATTTTTTTCTTCAATCTAAATAGAACAACTTTGCTAAGAGCAATTTCTTTTTAATATATTTAGATAGATCATAAATTAGTGTATCACATAATTGTAATTCCATTCTTATTATTCAGATTTGTGTAGACATTGTATTTTGGATGGAAGAGTCCCTACATCCTGAAAATCAAGAAATACTTCAATGTTCAAACCACTAACTGGTTCTGAGGAGGGAAAATGGTTAGAGTAAGTGTTTACATTCATGAATGGTACTTCAAGATATAATTGTTCTTACCATGCATTCAGGCATTGTAAAATGCATTCAAGCATACATAGATCTAAAAAAGTTGTTTCCTGTAAACCCATCCAACCTTTTCAAATTAGAGACAGGTTAGATATTTTTTTCTGGCAGATCTGAGTTTGAAAAATACTGACAACTAAACACCTTATGCAATTTATATCAATAATGTTAATTTAAGCTTTACTTGATCTATATTAAATATGTCAACTAAGTCAGCTTGCCTTTTATGAAAGCTGATGATCATTATTATAGCATCTAGAATTTTTTCCATGACTTTTGGGTTCATTTGTGACACATGCTGCTTGACAGCCATATTGGATGTCCCATGCTTGAGATCCTACAATAGCCAAAAAGAATGAAAAGTAAAAATTCCCTACCTACCGCCCCTTGTTTTTTTTTTTTGGGGGGGGGGGATGTTACAGGAGAAAAGCATAATTTGTTTGGCTTAACGGATAATTCCATATTTTAGGTATCCATAGAAAAAAATGGAATTCAGAATTTCACATAATAACTATTAATTAATTTATACTGTGTTTCATCCATTACTTAGGGAGAAGTATGCTGATATAGACTATGAGAGTTCTAAGAGCTGCAAAACTTCAAGATCAAAGAAAGATACAAGACCAGAGCATGTTACAGTGCAGTCTAAATGTTCCAGGTGAGAGACAAATGTGCATGGATCCTAATTCATATCAAACATTTCTTTCTAAATCATTCATACTGGTCATAAATGTGATAACAGTAAAACACACTTATAACAAAGTGCAATGGACGGACGATTTTGCTTTGTACGTTATAAGCTTAATTCGTTATATCCAAAAGTTTACGATATATTTTAAAGTCATGGGGAATGAAAATCTTTTCGCTATAACCGTCAATTCGTTATAAGCGTGTTCGCTATAAGCTTGTTTTACTGTATAGAGAGGTAAATTTAACATTGTAGTAGCAATACAAAGGCCTCAGAAAAACAGCAGGGGAAGAAGAGGTGTCATGGCTTCATTAACAATCTAGGAGATAGAGAAAAGCAGGCAGAATCATCAGGTTTGGCTTTCTGAGTGATCTGTTTTCTAACTTGTTATGGTGTAAACATTTTAAATTGAAGCATGCACAGTTTTGTATCCTTTTTTTTTAATTTGTAAGTGAAATTAAAATATATGATAATTTTCAAAGTTCTGTTTTTAAAAGTTAATAGAATGAAAACATCTAAACATTTCCAAATGATGACTGAAAAAAATCTACCTTTTATGTATTTGACAGAATCTGATGTGGAAATTATTGAAGAAGAAAAGAATATCCCTCAGAATGACAGTTTGTTTAAGCCACTGAGAGGAAATGAAGAGGCAGAAAGATTGGAGTAAGAATATTCTGATATTTTAGTCACAACGTATAATCAACTAAATGTATATGATGTAAATGAAGAAAAAAATTAAGGTTTTATATAAAAGTACATTTAATGCAAACCTGGCAGGCCCATAACAATGGTTTCGGGACTGTTCAAATCCAGGAATTTGCCAATGCTCTACCTTACAGCAATAAAAGGGGGGGGGGGGGGGGGGGCAGCAACTAAATGGAAATTTTCTTTAGCAGCTAGCATACTTATTAGTACTGTGAAATCACTAATTTTTGTTGGGGTTTAATTTTCGTTGCTTTCAAGGTACATGTATGAAATGTAATTTTTCAAATATATTACACTGTACTACTGAAAAGGTCTTTATCCACAAAATCAAATCCCCACAAACCAATATATTTTTCTAAAACTATGAAAAATTTACCCTTGAAAATATGAGATTTTACCGTATACATGTATTCAGAAAAGAGTGCTCTCCCCTTGCATTCTATGGACCTGCCAGGGACACAATAGAAAAAATCTAAGTAACACAATCAAGGCAAGATTCACTAACACTAGGCCTCAGGGCCATAAAACTTGGACGATCTCACTTTTGATCTCAGTCTCACTTTTCTACTATTAATTCCTTTGGTAAAAGTGAGACTGAGATCAAAAGTGAGCTCGTCTAAGTTTTATGGCCCTGAAGCTAGGTCTAAACTCAAGATGCAGATAATTTATTTTAAAAAAAATACTGTTTTAATGATTTGTTTTTCATATAACAAAACAATTATGGACTGTGTTTTCGGGCAACATTGATTATGTTAGCCTCCTCGGGATGAAAATATTGCTGTCGGGCAATATTTCATCCCTTGGAGGCTAACATAATCAATGTTGCCCTCAACTCCAGTCAATATTTGTATAATATTGACACAGCCCTAATCTCGAGTTTTTTGAGATAGGGTTTTCAAATATTTATCATTTTCTTCTTTGAATATCCTTTGACAATGTAACATTTTCCAACAATTGTTTCATGACTTAAGATTTATAATCATCAAAGCTTCAACATGTTAAGATATTGTGTGAAAAGTTTGAGTGAACATTAATACAATTTGATAAGTCATAGAAAAGTCATTGTAAATTAACTCATAGTAACTGCAAAGATACGCAAGGAATACCCTAAATGTCAACATGTATAAATAACAGAGTTCACACTTGGAGCTCCATCAACCCAAGATCACTGTGAAATTTTGTAATTTTTATGAATTATCTTTTTTTTTTTTCTGAAATTAATTTTTTTTTTAAATCATTAGGGTGTTGGCAGCTGCCACCTCTGCCATCTCTTTTGCTTTGCCTTTGTATACATGTATAGTTTAATCATTACAGAGTCAAATATAAAACAGCATTTGAAGCTGAAGATGAAGTACAGAAATGTTCCACAGCAAAGAAACCCAAACTGACATTTATAACTTCAGAAAATACCCCAGGAAAATGTAGAGGAACATTAAAGAATGTGTATGTCATGTACTAATATTACCTTAGAATACAGTGAGGGCAATTCAGTAACCTCTTAGAGTTTATGTCTGTAATGATGTCATGACAGAATATCTACCCTTGTTTAGTTTTTTTAAAGACCCTCTCTACACTTGAGCAAAATGTATTTTTAGAGATTGAGAAAATTATATTGTACAAAGGTGTAGATATTGAACATATTTATCTCATTTTTAACTTAGGATACCTTGCATTTCCCCCAGGAAAATATGTTTAAAGATTATGAAATACTGATGAACAGAAATCACTATTTTTCAATTATGTGAGGAAAATACATGCCAATAAAGTCTTCAATTAATTTATCTTGGCCTATTAAAATGTTAAGAATGCTTGAATTGATTACAAATTGAGTAAAACATGGTAGATTTCAATTTCTTTTATTTTAGTTCTAAGGGCATGCAGACTACTCTAACTGCATAAAAATGCCACAGAATCGGAACTCTTAAGAGTGCAGTGTAGAGAGGGTTCTTAAAAGCAAATTTGATTTTTTGGATATGTACAGTGTATTTGCCCAAAACTATTTTGTTTTGTATTTTGAAATACCTGTTCATTAAAATATTTAACAATTGAAGTGATATGAGATATAATTATTAACAGGGATAGTACCAAAAAGCCAATTACACCCATACAATCTGAAATAAAGGCACAAAGATTGGCTGCCCTTGAATACAGTCCTGATACAGGGGAGGACAAAAGTTTCACACATATAAAACACAATGCAGGTAATAATATAGGGAGACAGTCTAATAAAATCAGCTCCACAAAGGAAAGGAAGAAGTATTGTCATTAAGGGTCATGAATGTAAACTTTTGAAGTAATAACTTTTTTTTCAGACATCTTACATGAAAATGCTTTGAATTAATCAAATGACAACAGATGTTTCTATTTGTGAGTAAAAGTTTCAAATTGATTTTTTTATGGAATCTGCTCAATTTAGGTTTTGATGCAGAAGAGTTTGAAAAACCAAGGTTTAGGGGCAGAATTCCTCCAGCTGCAAAAGTCCCCTTCAAGTTGTCTAACCCAAGAGATGACAGACAGATAGAGGTAAAAAAGAAACAAACAAAAAGATCTGTTTAAACCGAAGGTGACTGTCAAATCTTTCCCATAATAAACCCTATGTAATAAACATTCCAATCTTTTGACTGAATTTTAAACCATATAGTCAAACCTCATTCTCTAACTCAATGGGACCAAAGAAAGACTTCGAGAAATATCAGAGGATTTGAGGTACAGAGGGTAAAATACTTAAATGATAAGTGATTGGCACTTCAAGATTGCTTCGACATATCCATGGTATTTGAGATACTGGTGTTCAAGATACCAAAGTTCAAAGTTCAACTGTATTTGGTTACTTGAAAGATTATGTTCAGTTAAAGGAAGTTATACTGCATTTAGAGATTTTTGTTTTTGTTGTTTTTTTTAAATTACAATGTATGTGAAGACAACTGATCACTGTGTATCATATTGTTATGAAAACTGATTGAAAGATACATGTATGTCACAGTATGCAAAGAATGAGACCATAAGAACCAGTTTGAATATGACAAAGAACACAAAATATATAAATAGTTTGATTCTAGAGTAAAAGTGATTGCTATTTATTTAGGTTCCAGCTCCTTTGAATCAGCATTTAAGGGATTACCAGAGAGAGGGGATAATATTCTTATATGACCACTACAAGGAAGGAAAAGGGGCCCTTCTGGGGGACGACATGGGGCTGGGGAAAACTGTACAGGTCAGATGAGGAAAAAAAAGAACTTGCTCAAACATATAACTATGTTATTATCATTGTTCTTGATTTAAACATTCTATAAAAAAAACAATTTTGTAGTGAATTCATTTTACCATCAGTAAGTGAAATGTGGAATTTTCTCTTGCCTTGTTGTTACTTTGTCTAGACTGAAGTGAAAGTATTTAAGGAATGAATTTAATAGCTACCCATTTTATACGGTATTAACTGGGTTGGGGCAGTTTACACTTTATAAACCGCAAAGCGGTTTATAAAAAAGCGTAAACTGTTCCAACCCAGTTTATACTGTATAAATTGGGTAGCTATTAAATTCATTCCTTATAATTTAATTTTCATTCATTTGGTGTAAGAAAAAAAGATGAATGTCCTTAAAAAATGACTCCAATTTATACAAAATTTGAATGTAACGTCAGGTGGATCGATACGTTTTTGACGCAAGTCATTGTGACGTAGGCAACCCATTTTATAAAATATAAAGTAAATTTTTTATCCAATCAAATAAAGCATTACAACTAAAATTAAATTATTTTTAAATCAACATGCATGTTTAAATATTTATAAAATAATACTAAATTGAAAACCTTATTTTCTTAATTAATGCCCTTGTTGGTCACACAGTTAAGATATTCTCCTTGTAGGTCATTGGTCTACTAGCAGCACTACTTGGGAAAAAGTGCAATAAGACGGACATCATGAAACAAAAACCAAGATTCATCAGAGAGGTGATTTATCACAACAGAAGATAATTTTAATTTTGAGTCAAGCCAGGCTTTTTATTTAGCACTGAAATGCTCTGAAGCACAAATGACCAACAATGACTCCAGAATAGTGCTCATGTATTTGAAAGTCACAATACTTGAGTGTTTGAGGTCTTCCTTTTTTCCATACAAAAGTTTATGTTATACATGTTTGCAATTTCATGTTTTGAGAGCAAGTCTGAATTCTGTATTACCTTCTTCAGATGTCAGATGACAGTCTAGAGGAAAAGCTAGAGGAAGACACAATATACAGATGTCGGCCATTTCTAATTATTGGTCCAGGGAGTGTGCTGTATAACTGGATGGATGAATTAGAAGTCTGGGGGTATTTCACAGTGGGGTCAGTCTCATTTTGTGTTCTGTGGGAGGGGTGGGGGAGGGGGGGTGGGGTCAATACTGATTGAAAGTAATTAAGCTCATTGTTTTATTTCACAGGAAATACCATGGCGGTGAGAAGTCTGAATGCTTGTCCAAATTAGAAAAACAAAGTTTAGAAATAGTTGTGACTACTTTTGAAACTTTCAGAGAAAACCTGGTAAGAAATGACACCATCAATTATACAGTACAATGAATGTTTTTTGTTATAGTAGACAAATGGCATGCAGAATAAATTATTTCATGTTTACTTTTGTGACATTTACTGTGTAAAATTTGATATAGAGTGAACTGAATTCAGTGGAATGGGAAGCTGTTATAACTGATGAAGTTCACAGAATCAAGGCAAGTACCAAAACAAATAAACACAGTACATCACACTTGTTTATAAGACTGGTGTAGCAATGGAAATGACAAGAAAGACAGAAATTTAGTCTGTAAAAATTCACAATGTTAAAAATCATCAAATGCTGCAGCATTTCTACAAAGCTTTTTTTCTGACAGGGATTAAAAGCCCAGGTGACCAATGCTCTACGGTCAATAAAGACCCGGCGTCGGTTCGGACTGACAGGAACAGCTTTACAGAACAATATGAGGGAACTCTGGAGCATTTTAGACTGGTTAGTAAACTGGTCAGATTCAAGATTTATATATATTTATATACATTTTCTTTGATAAATTATGTATTATGAGACATGCACATATGTATCTGATGCCATAGGTCGCTGACAATGGTAAATAATTAGGAATTGGTTCAAGTTTGATGCCTTAACTTTTCTGTTCTTTTCTAGGGTTCAGCCTGGTTGTCTTGGCAGCATTGATTTATTTACAGAGGAGTTTGTGGTTCCTATAGAAACTGGACAGAAAAGAGATGCCACAAAGAGGGAACTGGCTATGGCCAGAAAAGGTATTGATGATAGTTCCAAGGCACATGTAATAAACAAATGAGGTTTAAAACACATCTAAATGTATTCATATATATATATAAATTTCTTCTATTCTAATTTTAAAGTGAAAGAGAAATTTGCTGCCATCAGAAATAAGATCATGCTTAGAAGAACTAAACAACTGATTGCTGATCAACTGCCACAAAAAGGTAAAGATGTTTTGGTATTATGTATGTTAGATTTAGAAAAGAGTTACATGCAATTGGAATTGTTAGATTTAGAAAATAAATAAATTTCAAAAAATGAAGTGGGAGAAATTTTACATAGCACAGTTTGAGCTCTGTGTTTAAACTAAATGAATTTTTTGCATATATATTTTTCACTCGGTTTAATTTTTGAGGCGCATCACTAACAGCGATGTGGCCTCATTGCTGTCGACCCCCATTTCTTTCTTTTCAATTACTGCGACGAGAAAGTACTCCACATTATTCATTCTAAATACACCATTGAAAATAGTGCAAATGTATATTGACAAGTTGGTGATATTCATTGTTTATTTTAAATATCAAATAATATAAAATCTCACATAGATATGTTGTTTATACTTTGAAAGCAGCAAAGATATCAAAAAAGAAACAAAAACAAAACAAAAACAGAGAAAGAGCAAAAAAAAAAAAACAAACAAACGTGTGCGCTATGCGGAGTAAGATCTATTTGCATCACAACAGCTCGTGCCCTAAATTATTAGGCCTTGTAAGGCGACATTGCTTGTACGAATATCTGAGAAAAATAATGTTATTTTATAAAACATCACTAACAATAGGAACAAAATGGTTGTTTTTATAGAAATAGAAGGGATATCATTATTTTTTCACTCGATGAAACAAATAGTAAGATGTTCAACTGAATAAATTTTTGCAACATGCACCACCTTTCGGGAAAAAATTCCAAGAGGAAGGGTGACACGAAACGGTGAAATGATCGGTTTTTGGTGAAATGTCAGTTGAATATGATGAAATGTCTGATAAAAAACTGCAATGACTGTGGATTTCAATTTATAGGTTTACAAATACCGTATAAACATAGACTTTTTGAGTTAATTTAATCAAAAATATTGGAGATGTGTTTCATAGTATACCGTATACCACGCCCGATTGCCTTTTTTTCTTTATTCCGTACTATTTATATGAACATTTCATGTATCCCACTATGGTTTACGTAAAATGCACATAATGAAAGAAACGGAAAAAAATTCAGATATGAAATTATATAGAATTTTTCAATAACCATTCATTTCTAAATTCTCGTTCATTATTTCATCTTTCTACTATGATTATAATGAAAGAATAAATAAAAATTAAAATATAATTAAAATCAATTATAGATTAATTTAAATATCAATGAATTATAATTGATACGACTCAAAATTTTTTTTTAACCTCAAAGAAATGATATTTTTTATTTTTATTTTTATTCCTGATTTTTTTTCATTCCCTCAAGATGTATGTTGAATTTTTCTGAGTAAGAAAATTTGAGTTTTCTACCTTCAATGCGATGTGCCTCTCAGGCCTTCAGGCCTTTGATTATAACATAGATTCTTTTTCTGGTACCTCCATTGAACATGAACATGCATGACCAGTATTTTTCTTGTGTATACAGAAGACAGTGTTGTATTCTTATGTTTCATGACCAGTAACTTTTTCTATTGTAAACAGATGACAATGTAGTGTTCTGTCGCTTGAGTGACCTACAAGAACAGGTGTACCAGTTTACCCTGGAACACCCAGGCCTGGTACATGTGATGTCAATGGATGATCCTTGTCACTGTGGAAGTGGGGAACCCCGTAAAAACTGCTGTAAGGTATGGAAATACACTGGGGAACCCCTGAAGTACTGCTGTAAGGTATGGAAATACACGTACATCGGGGAACCTCATAAATACTGCTGTAAGGTATGGAAATACACCAGGGAACCCTGTGTATACTGCTCTAAGGTATGGAAATACACCGTGGAACCCTGTAAATACTGCTGTAAGGTATAGGAATACACCGGGGAATAGGGATGTGCGATTTTATCGATATACCGGTATATCATAATTTTTGATTACGTGATACGTATCGTGATACAGAGACTAAAATACCAGTATTTTAAGTACATAATGATAAATTCCATAAATTTATATTTATTTATTTATTCAAATTTTCAAATTACAATTGCAGAAAGTCTAAAACATGTTGAGTATGGTAAAAGAACAACATCTTAGCATCCAAACATGCCTTATTTTATATAAATTAAAAAAAATGAAAAAAAAGTGAGGCTATGTTTTTGCAGCACATTTTTAGGAAAAAATTATGAAAATTCATTTAAAATCATTGTAAAATTTGGGGAAAAATCGTAATCTATCGTGATACCCTTTCCTACCAGGGAACCCTGTAAATACTGCTATAAGGTATTGCAATACACCAGGGACCCCCATAAATACTGCTGTAAGGGAAATACACCAGGGAACCTCATAAATACTGCTGTAAGGTATGGAAATACACCAAGAAACCCCATAAATACTGATGTAAGGTATGGAAATACACTGGGGAACCCTGTAAATACTGCTGTAATGTATAGGAACACACCAGGAACCCCATAAATACTGCTGTAAGGTATGGGAATACACTGGGAAACCCTGTAAATACTGCTGTAAGGTATGGGAATACACCTATAACACCAAATGGGTAGAGACGTCTAACCTTGATATCTCAAACTCAGTTGGACTGGTGAAAAGTTGTATATCCAATAAGAATTCAAGATTCGGAAGTTGAAATGTGAATTGAAGCTGTGGTTTGGACCATGAGCTCGCTTCATATTCAATATATTATCATTTGAGTCTTAAATTTTGAGATACCCAAATTCAAATGTAAAGTCATTCCACTGTAAAGTAATTTTATAATGTCAGTTTGGTTCACTAATTTCAAATAGTTCACAGTACTTATAGAAAAGTGGTGATTTTAATGGCCAGATTAGCTACATTTACATTTACTGTCAAACCTCATTATCTTGACTTTGATAGGACCAAGAAAAATCTCAATGTATCTGAGGATTCTAGATTACAAGGTTAAAATATGAAAAAAAAAAAAGCGGTTGGGACTTCCTACTCTGTTTGACATATCCATGATATTGGAGATATCAACATGTGAAATACAAAAGTTCAACTGTACTTTTCATTGGTTTTGCTGTTTTATAAATCTATTTAAGTTTGTTGCTAGTAAAAAAATAATAAAAATTTTACTCATCAGAAAGATAAATATTATTGCCAATGAAAAAGTCTTGTTTAATTTGGGGTGTTTCAAATGATTCTTAACAATAACTTTTAGTCACAAACACAAGATTATCTTTGGCCACCATTAAACTCTGCTCTGAAATAATGCAAATCATACTGCACTACTAGGGCTGATCATGAGGTAATGAAGAGAAATTTTAAGACATGATGATTTTTTTTCAGCAAGTGACCAAGGAGGTGACAGTTACGGGGTTACAGTTTATTTTTATGCACCTCCTGCTGAAGGTCTCTAACCATGCTGCTCTTTTAATTGAGAATCCACACCGTGAGCTGTCCAAGTACTCCAAGATGGTCTGTAAAGCTGTGTTTGAGGAGTTCCCTCACTTTTACAACCACACAAAGGAGTCGGCATTTAGAACTTTGTCTGATCCTAAATATTGTGGCAAAATGAGGGTGAGAGAAATATTTCTTTTATGCTTGATTAATATCTTTATCAGTACAAATACAACTGTACATGTAAATCTGAAATATTAGTGGATGTAAAGGGAACATGTGCTCTATTTCTTGATTTTGACTGCCTGAAGAACATTGTGTTAACAGATGAGGCTTAACTTGGTCTTATAAATCTTATAAATAATGTAACATGGTTTAACAGATCCTGCAGAGATTGCTGAAAGTTTTCCAAAGAGACCACAGCAAGGTGCTCATCTTCTCCTACAGTACCAGGGTGAGATTACTCTGCAATGTACAACTATGGCAAAATGCACCCCAGAAAAGTGGCTTGTCCTTGAGAGATAAAAGACTGTTTAATTTAGACTATGTACATTTGTATTCCACTATTTTGAATTGACTTTTTGGTTTTTGTTTGTATTGTGTAGGTATTAGACATTATCGACCAGTATCTGATCACAACTGGGTATGAGTATCGTAGATTAGATGGCAGCACTAGTATGTCCAAGCGGTCAATGCTCGTCAGAGAATTCAACAGAGATCCAAACATCTTTCTGTTCTTAATCTCAGCAAAGTATGTTAATTGCATATGTATTAATGGATAATATTTCAATAAAAGTGTCCAATTATATCTTAACTGTGTAACAGATAGAGATCCTTACAGCTCTCAGTTATTATTTTAATCATTTTCATCACAATGTCTCTCTTTTAAGCACAAGTAGTACCTCATTAAGTTGAAATTTTGATTTTCATAGAAACATTTTTTTTAGTTTACACAGATAGACATTAAATATTCAGCATTTGTTTGGGTTGCACTCTTATAGCATGCAATTTTAAGGTCAGACGACACGTTCCTCAAAAATGTATTTTATATACCTTGGTATTATATCAAAAATTATACATAATTGTCACTCTCTTGTAATTTCTAAATTGTTTCAATATGTTTAAAAAAAAATAAGTACACCAAAAATTGTGAATTTGGCAATTCAAAAGATTACCCATAAGGATTATATATGAAATATCACCCTTTAGTATCTTGCCCAAGTGCCTGGTAAGGTACCTCAATTTTTGGTGAGGAAACTTGTTTAGGAAGTTAAACTTCCATGACAAATTCTTGGGAAAAATTATATATTTTCTAGGAACGTGTCGTCTGACCTTAATACAGCCATTGAAGTCAATACCTGTAAATAGATGTAACATTTGTTTCATTTCTGTAGAGCAGGGGGATTGGGTTTAAATTTGACAGGCGCCAACAGAGTCATCATTTTTGATCCAAGCTGGAATCCAACAAATGACCTCCAAGCTCAAGATAGGTACAATAAGTTTGTTTGTTTGTTGTTTAACGTCCCTCTCGAGAATATTTCACTCATATGGAGACGCCACCACTTGCTGGTGGAGGGCTGCAAATTTATACCTATACTCAGCACTCAAGGCCATTGAGCAGTGAGGGATCTTTTTCGTGACAACACCTACTGCAACAATGAACCTCGGCTTATACGGTCTCATCCGAAGGACCGGTCTCCACGTCCTGCAGTGGATTCGAACCCTCTAAGTAAGGATCAAATCCTTACTTTGTGACTCTAGAGCAGACGCTCTAACACTGCGCCATGCGGTCGACTTATACAATGAGAAATTGGAATTGGAATTAGATTATTTAGTAATACATTTTTGTTTAGCTCAGTTCAACCTTCTGTAATTTTCTTCATTGTTTTTAGCTCACCTGAGCTGAAAGCTCAAGTGAGCTTTTCTGATCACATTTTGTCCGGCGTCCGTCTGTCTGTCCGTCTGTCTGTCTGTCTGTAAACTTTTCACATTTTCGACTTCTTCTCAAGAACTACTGGGCCAATTTCAACCAAACTTGCCACAAAGTATCCTTGGGTAAAGGGGATTCAAGTTTGTTCAAATGAAGGGCCACACCCTCTTTCAAGGGGAGATAATTAGGAATTACTGAAAAAATAATGGCATCATTTAAAAATCTTCTTCTCAAGAACCATAGGGCCAGGAAAGATGAAACTCATGTGGAAGCATCCTTAGGTAGTGTACATTCAAGTTTGTTCAAATCATGACCCCCGGGGGTAGGGCGGGGCTGCAATGGAGGATCAAAGTTTTACATAGAAATATATAGGAAAAATCTTTAAAAATCTTCTTCTCAAGAACAGCAAAGCCATGATGAGTCATATTTATATGGAAGCATCCTCAGGTAGTGTAGATTCAAGTTTGTTCAAATCATGACCCCCGGGGGTAGGGCGGGGCCACAATGGAGGATCAAAGTTTTACATAGAAATATATAGGAAAAAATCTTTAAAAATCTTCTTCTCAAGAACAGCAAAGCCATGATGAGTCATATTTATATGGAAGCATCCTCAGGTAGTATAGATTCAAATTTGTTCAAATCATGACCCCCGGGGGTAGGGCGGGGCTGCAATGGAGGATCAAAGTTTTACATAGAAATATATAGGAAAAATCTTTAAAAATCTTCTTCTCAAGAACAGCAAAGCCATGATGAGTCATATTTATATGGAAGCATCCTGAGGTAGTATAGATTCAAGTTTGTTCAAATCATGACCCCCGGGGGTAGGGCGGGGCCACAATGGAGGATCAAAGTTTTACATAGAAATATATAGGAAAAAATCTTTAAAAATCTTCTTCTCAAGAACAGCAAAGCCATGATGAGTCATATTTATATGGAAGCATCCTCAGGTAGTGTAGATTCAAATTTGTTCAAATCATGACCCCCGGGGGTAGGGCGGGGCTGCAATGGAGGATCAAAGTTTTACATAGAAATATATAGGAAAAATCTTTAAAAATCTTCTTCTCAAGAACAGCAAAGCCATGATTGGTCATATTTATATGGAAGCATCCTGAGGTAGTGTAGATTCAAGTTTGTTCAAATCATGACCCCCTGGGGTAGGGTGGGGCCGCAATGGAGGATCAAAGTTTTACATAGAAATATATAGGAAAAATCTTTAAAAATCTTCTTCTCAATAACAGCAAAGCCATGATAAGTCATATTTATATGGAAGCATCCTGAGGTAGTGTAGATTCAAGTTTGTTCAAATCATGACCCCCGGGGGTAGGGCGGGGCTGCAATGGAGGATCAAAGTTTTACATAGAAATATATAGGAAAAATCTTTAAAAATCTTCTTCTCAAGAACAGCAAAGCCATGATGAGTCATATTTATATGGAAGCATCCTCAGGTAGTGTAGATTCAAATTTGTTCAAATCATGACCCCCGGGGGTAGGGCGGGGCTGCAATGGAGGATCAAAGTTTTACATAGAAATATATAGGAAAAATCTTTAAAAATCTTCTTCTCAAGAACAGCAAAGCCATGATGAGTCATATTTATATGGAAGCATCCTGAGGTAGTGTAAATTCAAGTTTGTTCAAATCATGACCCCCTGGGGTAGGGTGGGGCCGCAATGGAGGATCAAAGTTTTACATAGAAATATATAGGAAAAAAATCTTCTGAAGAAGAACAGAAAAGCTATGTTTAGTCATATTGATATGGAAGCATCCTGAGGTAGTGTAGATTCAATTTTGTTCAAATGATGACCCCCAGGTAGGATGGGGCCCAATGGGGGATGGAAAGTTTTACATAAGAACATATAGAAAAAATATTTCTTCTCAAGAACAGAAAAGCTATGTTTAGTCATATTGATATGGAAGTATCCTCAGGTAGTGTAGATTCAAGTTTGTTCAAATGATGACCCCTGGGATAGGGAGGAGCCACAATGAGGGATCAAATTTTTACAAAGGAATATATGGGAATTTTCTTTAAAAAATCTTCTCAAGTACAACAAAGCCATTTGTTATATTGACATGGAAGCATCATCAGGTAGTTTAAAATTCAAGCCCCCCCCCCCCCCCCCCCCCCCCCCCCCCGGTTTTTTCAATACTGAACTGATTGTGCTTTTGCCTAGCCAATGTGCTCAGGTGAGCGATGTGGCCCATGGGCCTCTTGTCTTTATTTTGTTCTGGAATTTTGTTTTGATCAACAGTACATGTCCTTCAATTTTATATTGACAAACTGTAATTTGAATGATTGTTTATACAGGGCTTACAGGATTGGTCAATGGCGCGATGTACATGTGTACAGATTGATATCATCTGGTACCATAGAAGAAAACATCTACCTGAGACAGGTGTACAAACAGGTAGGAACCTTAAAAAAGTCTTTTAAATATTATACTTGAAATTACATGAACAGTAGTATTCTGCTTGGCAAATACTAGGTATACTAGTAAACATTTCTTCCTCTCTCTCTCACCCCACCCCCTTTCTTCCTACACCATGTTTAGCAATTAGACAGTGTAGCAGTTGGGACTGAAAATGCCAGGAGATACTTCAGAGGGATAGCTGGTGACAGGAAGAGGTACGGGGAATTGTTCGGAATAAAGAATATGTTCCAGCTCCACACAGGCGACTCCAGTAGAACAATGGAGATACTTAGGGTAAGAAAAGGAATGTATCAGGGGATATTGCAGCAACTTATACCAGACTACTGTAACCAGGTTTTATTTACGTGGGAGAAATATCCACAAGTTTTGCAACCTTTTACTCGCAAATATTTCTAGCCACAAACAAATTATTTAATATTATATTTAGATGTACATTGTATATAGAAATTTTCCTCAGTTGCAAAAATTAATACTTGTAGTCATGGATGGATTTCAATCTTATGCATTAAAATTAAAAGTTGCCTGGAATAAAAGATTGTATACATTATCTTTAAAAGATGTTCACTTAGAACGCATTGAAATTAACTTTTAGTTTTGCTCCTCCATTGTAATTTTTAGATTTGAAGGAAATAGCTATAATGTATATCAAACTCAACCCCTACTTAATAATTCTTTCAGCAAAATGAGAACCTTGAACAGAGTCTCACAGAGTTTAGAATGGCCAAGTATGTACCAGGGGCCAGCCGCAGATTTAGTGTGGAGGAGGATGAGATGGAAGACATGATTGAAGAATCCCAGACAGGCGAGGAAGAAGACGAAGACTATTTGTCCAGATATCTTGATTTACACCGTAATGCTCGCTTGTCTTCTGATGTACTGTTTTCTAGACAAATTTTCATGCAACATAAAGAAAAAGATTGAATGGGGAAAAAATTGTCAAAATTTAACAATTCTGCCACAGGCAGACAAATTTGTTCATGGCCATATAGCTTGAATTCTGGTGTGGTCCATCCCATTTTACTCCCTTCCTGTTACAATTCTAAGTATATCATTAGTATTTTTATATTTTAGTAATTTTCTAGCAATTAATAACCCCTTTGTTTTTCTGGTTTGTTATACTACAGACAGTGATAGTGAGGCAGAGGAGGTCAAAGGTAAAATGTCAGAGGTCAAAATCAAGAGAAAGAACAGTAAAGGAAAGGATTCCCCCACAAAAGAAGGAACTCTCTTAGGTAACCGCGTATCTGTTCCAGGATAATTTTATAGAATTCATTTCCATTGCACACAAATACAGGTATTTGGTTAATGTTTCATCTTTTATTGCGATATAGCTTGGTCTGGGGAAATAGGCTAGATCTTGAGGAACTGGAATCTTGCTGACTCCTTCAACAGTATACATTAACTGTATATTGCAATACTTAAAAGGAGAGATGTGCTACAAACTGTTTGCATTGATACTGAAAAAAAAATTTATTTACATTTGCCAATTTTTATCAATGAAATCACATTATGTCAGAAGAAGTGGCTTATAGTATTCACATTAGGTGTTTGATAGGAAAAAGAGATGAAAGGCGGGAGCTGGCTTTATCCAATAATAAAAATTGCAATATAAATATAAGGAATGTGTCTCAGACATAGTTACTTTTGTGAATCATCATCCCAGGTTAGTTACAACATCATAAACACATTAACATTGAAAATTATTTAAGCTTACCTCCCCTCTGTTTTCATAATCTGTATTGTTTGAATGGATTTTAGAGGATGATCACTGTTTGTTATCTTCACATTTCATGTTTCAATGTATCAGTCAGGTTTGAGATGCGGCATTTTCAGCCAAATCACCAGGTTTATATTTTGAAGCAGTTTAAAGTTTTTGGAACAGATCTTATTCCCAAGTAACTATAAGCCCTACATTGACCAAACTTGCATAGATAATAGATCTAGGGATACAAACTACCATACTGCTTCTGTTGTAGAATCTTACCTGCATTTTCTGGGTGACTTTTTGGAGTAGGTTCATTTTTAAGTAACTATAAGCCCTAAGGTGACCAAACTTGCATAGATGTAGGTGATAAATCTAGGAATGCACATCACCATACTTGCTTCCAATGCTGGATCTGACCTACATTTTCCAGATGAGTGACCAGATAAGTTTTTGGAGCAGGTCCATTCCCAAGTACATGTAACTATAAGTCTTATGGTGACTAAACTTGGATGGAAGATGCATCAAGGGATGCACACTACCAGAATTGCTTTGTATTGAATTTGACCTACGTTTTCTGGATGAGTGACCAGGTTTAAGTTTTTGGATCAAGTTCATTGTATTGTAACTTTAAGCCCTACCTAGATCAAACTTGCATGGATGATACAGTACTTGTAGAAATGCACACTAACAAACTTGCTACAGATGACTGATTTGAGCTACTGAGTAGCTCAGGTGAAAAATGCTATCTGTTTTCATCTGTCATTGTTCGAGTTTGTGTCATGCATATACTTTTCACATTTTAAACTTTTCACTCAAGAACCACTGGACCAATTTAAATCAATTTTCCACTGAAAGAAGTATTCTTGGGAGAAGGGGATTCAGCTTTGTTCAAATGAAGAACAATGCTCCCTTCCATGGGGAGATAATCAAGAAAAGGCAAAACTAGGGTGGGGTCATTTAAAAATCTTCTTCTCAAGAACCATTAAGCTATAATAGTTGAAATTTGTACATGTTATATGAAACACTTCCTGACATAGTGTAGATTCAAATGTGTTTAAATTGCAGCCCTCAAGGGTAGGGTGGGGCCACAGTATAGGGTCAAAGTTTACTATGGAATATTTAGGATAAATCATTAAAAGTCTTATTTTCAATAACAGTAGGACCATGGCTTTACTTAGGAATATATATGAAAGAAATCTATGAAAATTTTCTTCTCAAGAACTACAGGACCCTAATTACACATATGCTAGCATCATCAGGCAGTGCAGAGTCACTTTTGTTCAAATGATGGTCTGCGGGGGAAGAGTGGGGCCAAAATAGGGTATCAGAACTTTATGTGAAAATATACAGAAAATGAAGAAAAAAAAAACATTTTAAGAATAGCAGATTATAGGTTATAGCTTATAGAGTCTTATCAAACTGTAAAATGTTTTGTGACTTTAGTCTAGGCTACATATATAACACTGGTTGAGGTGAGTTACGTAATCTGTGATTACCTAATACCATTATATTTATTAAAGAGTAACAAGTCTCTGCTTGATAAGATTTTTTAAAATACAGTTAAACTTCGGTATCTCGAACACTGATATCTCAAACACCATGGGTATGTCGAAGTGATTTGGAAGTCGCAACCCCTTATTCTCAAGTATTTTACCCTCAATATCTCGAATCCTCAGATATCTTGGTCCCATTGAGTTTGAGATAATGAGATTTTACTGTAATGACCTATTTTCAGGTGAGGAGGATGTTGTTCATGTGTTGAAGAATCGTAAGATTGTGGGAGGGAGTCGCGCTGAGGATCACATGTCGCGGTGTGCTATGCAGGATGTTTTTGAGCTCCATCAGAATTCACAGGAATTGGCTGCCCACTGCCAGCCATTATCAGAGGTACATACTGTAAGTGTACATAAATTGGTGTATTCAAAATTTAGCACAATCCCTGTCTATGAAGTTGTTGGCGAAATCATGAATTAGCGCTTTACACGTCCATACTGTATATTGTATGTATAATTGATTTCTTGGCGGTATTCATGAATTAGTGCATCATTATCTGTGCCAAAGCCGCTAAAATATGAAGCCCACTTTTTTAAGTACACATACAGTAGTAGAGTAGACACCAGCACTTAGGGCTGTTCTACTTTCAAAGATCAAAGATCTGTCCTTTAAAAATAATAAAAATGATCAGCTCACCTTTAACATATTAGATGTACCTAGGTACTTATTCAAGAAATTTAAAGTCAAATTCTTTATCACTCGTGGGAATGAGTTTCTTTCGTGCCAAAGATTTTTTTAAACAAGAAAATTGTCAGTACATGTATAGAAATATTATCAATATGTTAAATTATTTGGTCAATATAGAAATATTATCAATATATTGAATAAAATATTTAATATAGAAATATCATCAATATATTAAATAAATTGATGTTTGTTATTGTATCTTTACAGCCTGATAGTGAGGAGGATAAAAAACAAAACAAACGAAAACAACAAACTTCTTACACCACAACGATAGGCAATAAAACGGTGCTGATTGGTCAAACCCCTCCTCTAATTAGGATGTATGTATATGCAATATGTACCTAAATAATTTCAGTTAGTCTTGATATTAAGTAAGGCATGACTATTTCTGATAAAAATGTTTTATATGTGCCATGACTGTAATTTGAGTTAAAAATTAGAAAATAAAGTAATTAAGAATACTTGTCTAATCGGAACACCACTGGTTCCAAAATTGGCTAGATTAAGCAACATTTACATTAGAAATAATATTAAACAATTGAATTAACTGAAAGGGACATAAAGACTACATTGTATTTGGCAAGATTTTGTAATATACAATATCCAGATTTGTCAAGTTTTACTGTGTTTCTCCTTCAGACGTAGATAATTTGGGTTATTTTCCTAGGAAGCATTTTCAAGAGATGACAGAATTTAAGAAAAAGAAGACCATGGTGGAGTTTGCCGAGGAGGTTTTGAAATCTTCCTCACAGGAAAGAAAAAATATATTAGAGTGTTTTTACAAGCACATACATCCTGACATTACCCAGGTCTTCCTACAGAAAGAACCAATAAGAACTACCACAACATCAGAAACAAGCAATAGGACAGGTGGGAATTTTTGAAGTTTATTCTGTTACATAGGAATATTGAGGCCTTAAATATATCATTGAAAAAAAACTGTAGAGATTTTTGTTTAGATTTTCATCTTACTTGCATCTTCAGGTCAGTCTCCAATGGATTCCAATAAAGAGAGACAGCGAAAGAAGAGAAAGGGTGTGATGCAGAAATCACCCATAAAACCATCATCCTGTGCTGTCTCAAAAGAAACAATTATGACTGAGGTCAAAAAACAAGGTGTCAAGGCGGTCAGAAAAAGTAAACCTCCTCTCTTTGTACCAAGTTACATTGAGATTAATGAAGATGAAACAATGGATGCCTCACACAACAATGCGGATTTCAGCACAGATGATCTGCTGCAGGAAATAGCCAAGCAGAGTGATGAAAAGATTGCTGAAGTGGCCAGTCAGAAAGAGGAAAAAGTGACTGAAATGGATGAAGGGAGAGTCAGGGTAGAGAGTGAAGGACCTAGTACCTCAGAAACATCAGTTTTGGATGAACTCTTTTCTTCTTCCTTTATGGCAAGAATTCAAAGAAAACCAGCACCAAAGAAGAATAGACAAGGCAAGACTACATGTGATGGATCTGATGAACTGTTTTCAGACTCTTCTTCAGCTAAAGAAGAGGTTGGGGATGAAGGAAGAATTAGAGTGGACAACACATTAAAGGATGATGATTTAGATTGTTTTACTGATCCATCAAGGAAAAAGAGGAAGGGGTCAAGGGCACAGAAGATTGTGTCAAGGTTAATTGAAGAGAGTGAGGCCACATACAACAGACTTCCTAAAGTGGCAATTGGAAGTCAGTTAGATCAAGTGGAATCATGTGATAGAAGTCCAAGTCTATTTTGATTATTTGAAAAATATGTATAAAACACATACATGTGGACTGTGCTTTTTATTCCAGTCCAGAAAAATTTCAGGGCTAGGGATAACTTCTAAGCTCCCTGTTCTTACATCTTTTATGCTGAAATATGTTTGAAGTGAAGTCTTTTTTAACAAGAATCTTGTTTTTAAAGGTTTGGAAAATTCTTTATAATCAACAGAAGCATTGAGAGAATTAGCATTATGATGTATTGTTATCCAAGATGGACTGTTTTATTTTATTTTCATGATTTTAATATTATATTATTTTAGAACTGCTGTTTTTATAAATTTAATTATACATTTAATTTGAATGAAACACAAACCTATGTGTATCTGTAACATTTCTTTCAAGTAATATCTAACAAGGTTAAAAATGTCTAGTAGCATCTGCAAACATGTACATGTAATTTTTGAAAGGAGATATAGCATGTCATTGAGTGGTATGGTACCACTATGCTATTTTTAGATCAACTGAGTAACTTAGATTACCTATTAGTATCTGTTCCTGTCTTTTCGTTGTGCATTGGGTGTAAACTTTTGAACATTTTCAGCATTTTCTCTGGAAGCACTGAACCAATTTCAACCCATTCTGATGAATAGTATCTATGAGAAAAGAGAACAGAAAATGTGAATTTTATATTCTCTGCCTCCCTAGGGTTGGAGGTGGAACCAAAAACATCAAAATTAATGTTATCTTCAGATTTCTTTTTTACTCTAGACATTAAGCAGTCAAAATGCATGATTATGCTAAGAAATGAGCCCTCTATGAAAATTTATGAAATTCAGTGCCCCTGGGTACAGGGTTCAGGTGCCAGGATGAGGCTATATTGGTATTATATATTGAAAATGCATTACATCTTATAAAATCTTTTTTCCTTTTTCTAGAAAACAAACTGTTTGCATGATTATAATGACTACTGAATAATTGACCAAAATTGTGAAATTCATACCCCCTTGTTGCATGACTCAGGCCCCAAGATAGGGCTTACATGTATATGGTCATATATTGAAAATGCAGTACATTTTAAGCTCACCTGAGCCGAAGGCTCAAGTGAGCTTTTCTGATCAGAGTGTCAGGCGTCGGTCTGTCATCCGTCATCTGTAAACTTTTCACATTTTTCGACTTCTTCTAAAGAACCACAGGGCTAATTTCAACCAAACTTGCCAAAAGGCATCCTTGGATGAAGGGGATTTAAGTTTATTCACAGGAAGTGGCACACCTTTTTTCAAGGGGGGATAATTACAAATTCCTGAAAATCTTTTAAAAGTCTTCTCTAGAACAGCAAAGCCATGATTAGTCATATTTATGTGGAAGTATCCTCAGGTAGTGTAGATTCAAATTTATTCCAATCATGACCCCTGGGGGCATAGGGCAGGGCCACAAAAGGGGGTCAAAGTTTACCATAGGAATATATAAGAAATATCTTTAAAAATCTTCTTCTCAAGAACAGCTTAGCCATTTTTAGTTATATTTATGCAGAAGTATCCTCAGGTAGTTTACATTCAAGTTTGTTCAAATCATGACCCCTTGGGGTAGGGTGGGGTCACAACAGTGGGTCAAAGTTTTACATAGGAATATATAGTTATAATGGTTAGGGGGCATTTGAGTAAACATATAACGGTTCAGGTCCTGGAGTGGGACTTACCAGTAGTTGGTCATATATTGAAAATAAATTACATCTTTGAAAAATCTTTATTACTAATGTACGTGTAACAGACAAATTGCTTGTGTGAATATAATGAGTAGCTAAAACAGTTGTAAAATGTGTGTGGCCCCCAGACCCAGATATCAGTTGTTCATATTGAAATTTATTATGCATTGTACATTATCTTCATTTTGAACTTCTAGGAAACAAGCTGTGTGAATATGATAGTGATTATAGAGTCCTCAACAAATTATAATTTTGTCATATAAGTGAGCCAAAAATGGTAATAGCCTGAGAAACTCATGACACTCAGGTGACTGTGAAGGCCCATGGGTCTTTAGTCTACTTTTAACCTTCAATGGTTGTTTGTTTTGTTGTATCATAAAAACCGTTTACTTACATAAAGTTATCTTACAAGTATTTTATATGAAAATGTTAATGTATACATGTAATGAATTTTGAAATGTATATGTGCAGGGGTTGAAATTTTTTCTGGAAAACCCACTAGCCCAGGGACTACTGATCAGTAAAAATTTACTTGCCCAAACCTCAAACTAGCTAGCCCAACAGTTTTTATGCAAAATGAAAACAAAACAAGTTAAAGTTTTAAATGCTCTGGGGACAGGAACAAATTAAACTAGTTTTCAGTCAAAAGAAACCAGTCTACATAGGAAAGCTACAGTAAACTGACGATCGAGAACTTTTTCCCGTTCTGCTAGTCCGATGGACTATCGTTACATTTAAATTAGCTAGCCTCAGTCTTAAAATAACTAGCCCCAGGCGTCGGGCTATTTCAACCCCTGCTGATGTGAAAGGTGTTAATAAATATATACATTGTAAATGCAAAAATGGGAAAAAAAGCAATAGTTTCAAATTAAGATCGATCCAATCACAGATTACATGTAGTACAAAACGGCAATGTCTGTTATTAAATTCCTCCATTTATCTATTGTGAAAGTAATATATATATATATCCTTTGGCGCCATCCTCAGTTATAAACCAAGGATTTCTTCACTCATCTCACTAAAGTTGTGTGTGTTAATGCCATTTATAGTTGACGGTTGAAAAGTTAAAGTCATCACGTTTATCATAAAGCTTGGTTGTTAGATTACCATTAACGTCTTTTTCTAGTAAAATATCCAAATATGAAACAGGTGTGACAGACTCTGTGGTATCTTTTATTTCAAGCTCACTTGGATATACTGTAAACAAACTTTCATTCGTGAGCAAGAAATATCCGCGAGTTTCGCGACTTTTTTTACTCGCGAATATTTATCATCGCAAACCAATTTTTCACCTAGGTATTTATGTAGAACGTTGCCTCGGTCGCCAAAATTAATAGTCGCGGATGGATTCCAAACAGAAGAATCGCGAATAAAAGATGTCGCGAATAATACTTGGATTACAGTATCGTGTCGACATATGAATGGGAATAACTATTAAATTGATAATTGTTAATACGTCGTCGATATATCTAAATGTCGAGCTGAAGGCTTCAGCAAGAGATTTCTTTTTCTCATGCATAAGCTTTTGAACACATTCTGCTTCATTTGTATACAAAAATAGATCTGCTAACAACGGGGTGCAATTGGTACCCATAGCAATTCCAACAGATTGTTGGAAGACCTGGTCTCCTACAAAAATTGTCAATCAAAAACTTGAGCATCTTTTTAATATCAACTTCAGAGTACTTGTGTGTAGAATCAGAATGTTTTTAACAAAATAATTTTGCCAAAAAAAAAACTTTTGTGACGAAAATTGGCCGGCACGCTGCGCCGGGTCGCGAGGCCATTGATTTTTTTTTAGTCGTATGTATGAGGATGCCCAAGTTGTGTGTTTGAGATCTTCTTTAGAGCTGTATGCCTAAGAGTGTGGATACAAGTTGTTTGTACTTCTCGTTGGAATCGTATGAATTATCATTCCCTATTGATTAATCATTTATATCCATATATATAGGAATAATAGATAGTGATGCAATTGTATCTGTAAGGACACGGATATTAATTTGGGGTGACTGCTTGAAGTAATGAGTTAAGATAACAGTCTTAATAAATAATAAGTAAATTGTAATCAAGATATAATGATACAGAAGCTGCAAACTTCAAATAAAAGCTTTTAAAAAATCCTGAAATATGCTAGTATCTTTTTTATGCATTTTTAAACATAGTTAATAATTAAACTACTCATTAGATAAATGGAGATTAGAGTCGTCCCGTTCTTTTTCGACAGCTTCAGCAATCGATACGTGCACTGGAAAAACTGTGAAACATTCACAACTTCCGCTTGTCCCCCAGTATCATTCCTCACTTTCCGCGCTTCTTAATTATACCTTTTGTATCGCAAGATTTAGTGAGGACTTTCACGAGAAAACACAGACGATGTGAATTCTACAGAAAAGAAGAAATGTTTAATTATCCCGAATCTCTCCATCGTTTTCAAGACAGAGAACAGTGTGTGAAGCAAATCTAATGATATTGATTTCATCATAAAATATAGATAGTCTCGAATCGGAGTTCGGGAGAGCCTTCCATTAAGCTGGTAAGATTTTGAGCAGCAAATATTCAAACAATAATTAAAGTTTAGACACAGCGCCAAGACTCGATCGATGGGGAACCGTACTCGCAGAGTACATGAAGAAGAACTGGGTTACAGACAGCCAGTGCTGTACGTAGAACTCTCTAATCCTCGCTGTCTTTTGCAATCAGCGTTGTCGTTCATTTGTAAACCAAGCAAACGATGATACATCATTGATATTAACGTTGTATTTACCCCCACAAGAACAGTCTTTTATGGTTATTAGACCATTTTCAGGACATCTGAAGTCAGATGTCTCAATATAGAATATCACACATTCATTGCAAGAATTCCAATATTTATTAGCTTTCTGGTCTGAAAAGAATAATACGAAAACGTAAAATTGATTAAAGCTTTCGGATAAAGTGTCTCATCCTGAAACATATGTGTGTTAGCATGTTCTAGGAATTAGGTGTAGGAGTACGGAAAACAGTTTGAAAAATAATCGATTTTCATCCACTGAACGGCCTTATTGTAATTTACAAATCGATACTGAAAAATAATAGAATCTCGTAAAAGTGAAAATCTCCCACACGACATATTAAGTTTACGAGTTGACATATGTATTATTTTTTTTGTATTTAAGGATATTCTGTCACTGTAGCCAATCAGTGCTGGGTGTCGCCAGAAAAACAGACAGAATCGTAGGCTATATCGATCCGTCATAGAACTGCCACTGAGAAACACATTGAAAAACGGATGACGAAAAAGCCTCTCTTTGATTTGGAATAATTTTCATCAATGGAAGAGCATTTTCTCGTGTTTTTGGTAAATACCATTGGATGACAAAAGACGGAGGTGAGGGGATTTAACTCTATGTCAAGGCTGGTCCGACGGTCGTGTCGTCATGCCATTGCACGCAGTCTGAGGTTTGTCATAAATACTAGAGATTTTCTTTTATCATTTTACTCCGACACTGTATCTCATTCGAAAAAAAAAATAATGGGTGAAAATTTCTAGTGAGGTTGACATTATTCCTGGAAATAATAAATGTTATTAGTGACCTTTGTGGTTATTGTTGATAATGAATGGTGATAATTGTACTTTCTGTCTGTACTTTGTGTTCATAGATATTAGATATCATTGGGCAAATCTAAGGGATGTAAATTAAGGAATATATACAACAATTCTGTGTAAATTTCAGTGTAACCTTGGATTATATGTATTCATTATACAAGTCTCTTTCTTAGTATTATGAAATAGTCCATAGGCTTAGCTTCAATCATACGAAATGAATACAGCTTTGCGTCACATGAAATAACACTGGTATTGAATGGAGTACAACTGAACAATCTAATGACGTACGACCCACAGGCAACATCAGATATATGACACATTATATTTATGTCATTATCGTCATCAGTTTGTCTGGTTTAAAAAGAAAACAATCAGGTTGTACTTAAGTTGGTGAAAGAAATCGTGCTTGAGTATCAAACAATAATTATTATTGTTGTAGCATTAATTAGCGGACAAGAGTCACCGCGAATGGCGCTAAAATATGAATACCGCTAATATGTGTAAGTTTACAGTACTTACTGAGCCCTTTGCTTTCTTATACGTCGATGTTATTGTGTGGAAAGGGAAATACAAAACGTCAGGGGGTCGCGGATAAGTAAACGGAAATATAATTTACATCTAAACAATATACAAAGATGTTTTTTCTGTGTCATACTGCTAAGAATATTGAATTACATAGAAATACCTATATGTCATTATTGATGCATTAAAAACACCCAAAGTCGTTCATCTTAGCCGTGTAATTTTTGTAAATTCCATTTGTTTGACTCTTGACTCTTAGTTTAGGCCGGGCTTATGAGAAGTTCTAGATACAATATGTTAACACATTAGTAGAAGGGTTATTAACTTCGTATAGCAAAAGTTGGAGACTCAACGCTCAAAGTTAATAAGATACGTCATGATTTTCATCAAGATATTAAAAAGATATTAAAATTAGTAAGCTCTAGTCATTGATCCTTTCTTTTCTTAACAACCTTCCCTTAACTTCTGTGGACTATTTCAATATATAATAATGGCTCATCTTTTGTCGAGAATGAATCCAAGGTTAAAGAATATCGCTGCTGAAAAAACTAGTGTTACATAATTAAATCAGTGGTTTAAATTAATTTTTATAAAGTAGTGTTCTCGACATTCATTGTCTGAGATGAATACTCTTTGTCAGCAGAAATAATTATATTTATTGATTCCATAGCTTCTGAAGTCAGATATGTATTTTAAAAATACGTGGCAAATAATAAGGAATAACAGGCACGTAGCATCGTTTAAATGAGAGGGGGAGGGGGGGGGGCAGAGAAAAAAAATTCAACCTACGTGAAAAAAAACTTGAGAAGCCAAAAAAATGAATAAATAAATAAAAAATAAAGAAAAAACTCTCGAAAAATCCTATTTCGTTGGGGGGGTTAGGTTCCAACTTCTTTCAGTATCAAATTTCATTCATACACTATTACATTACCCGTATTTGACTAAACTGCAACAAAAGGGGGTCGGCCTTTCAATGAACATTTTCAATAGTATAAAAATTATATTTCAAAAAACGGGGGGGGGGGCTTTATGCGGTATGGTCAGATGATGGGGGGAGGGGGGGGGGGTAATGTTAAAGTGTTAGAACTCAAAGTTTTACCTCTTTCCCGAAATAGGATGAGATTGTTTTCTTTAGAACAGAATTACTGCAATATTATTCTGATTTTAGCTTGCTAAGATATTTTGACATAACCCCCTCCGCCAATCTACAAATGCATCCCCATAATTTGAAGTTTTAAACAGTCTTGATTTTTCTTCCGTATTCCCCCAGTAGCCTTGTTCATATTTTGACTTTCAGTGAAAGGGTTTACTGAAAGAGATACACAGTTGAATTCTATACTCAAAGCTGTATTCGTTCAGAGTGAGGAAGCAGCTATTCAGGCCTAGCTAGGCCTATATGTCGGCGGTAAATTTACTTGTTAGGTTTTGTGCCAGGCACCCTCTGACATTTCTGTATGTCCTTCTTTGCCCTACTTATCATCTGTTAGCAAGTGTAGGCAGTCCTTCTCATTAGGTGACCAAAATTGTTCTGGCGGCAAGCTGTGGAAAACATCTGAAGAAACTGAAATCAATATAAGCTTAACATAACTGCAGGGAATGCGATTCTGACATCCTCCTACACTGAATATGACGTCACGAGAGCGTGGGAGGCTCAAGGTTTCTAACTCATATGTCTCAATTTCTTTCTCAATACAAATGGACTCCACCTCTTACAAAATAACCATCTGTTAATAACTTTGGCATTCTCAATCACAGCGTTCAATAACATCTTTATTGTGAAAGCAGAAAGAAATCCGGATTCTTTTATAAGGTCGAATAACTTGCGTGGGAACGATTGCCGTACATTTCCCTTACATAGGTTCGCAAAAGTAGCAATCGGATGCTGTGCTCAGATGTTTTGTCGGTTTATAATATCATGCAGACAAATGATGGCGAAGTGATAATCCGATTATCAGAGGCGTAATCACGACAATGGAGCATTCTTTTAGAACCCGGATTTACTCGAAATCACAGCGTCATATATATGATGTGATCATCTACAAAAATTATTTACCCGGCGGGTGTATTCAGACAGTGTAGGCACGTAGTAAAGGATATATCATGACCCTATGGGTATATGGGTGGGGTCACGATATAGGATCAATATTTTTTATATGTGAATAAAGAAGGGAAAAAAAGAACAGCAGGGCAAAGGTGGCACAGAAAAGCCTTGTGGCCAATGGGCCTCTTGTTTTATAACAATAATTTAGTTTTTCGTGTGTATTGATAGCTATTATATCGTGTGTTGATAGCTATTATATCGGCATCTGTTATGTTAAGATAATACCATTAATGATGAATGTAACAGTATTTTGTAACATGTATATATCTGACTGATTTTTATTGCCGTTATTTGATTGGACTGTATCTAATTTTACTCTGTATCCTTCCTTAATAAACCAGAGACTGTACAATGTCAAACAGGCCCGTAGGAAGCAATTTCAGTTTGGGGGGCACAGCCATATATTTTCAGTTGAGGGGGCACTATCAACCAAAAATTCCTTGACAAGCAAAAAAAAAAAGTCATCAGACGTTTTTATTGAGGGGGCACAAGCATATAGTAGCAATGTTCTCTACAGCAATGTATATATCGGCAAAATTATTGGGGGGGGGGGCACGGCCCCCCCGTGCCCCCCCCCCCCGGGTTCCTACGGCCATGCCTAAAGCACAGAAGATCTGTTTGCACGTGAGAGGTTTATAGAGATTCATTTCCACGAATTATACTACCATCAACTACGTCAACAATTCTATAGTGTGTCAAGACGTCTACATTGTTAAAAAATTACCTTTCTTGTATACAATCATTCTTCCCCTCCAAGTAAGAGATACAATTCTAGCTTTTGACTTCGCATATGTGTCATGTTCTAAATTTTGAATTTACCGGGTGGGAGTAAATACAAAATTTAACACATGACAACTTGTCATGTTCTAAATTTTGTATTTACTCCCGCCCGGTAAATTCAAAATTTAGAATATGACATATGATTGAAGAGTACACCAAAGAGTTTCCTAAACAGAAAATAATATAATTTGTACATTCGGGTTTTCCCCGTCAAACTATTGCCTTGTGACTATTGGTTGGGACTACAATTAAGTGCCCAAGTTGTAAAGAGCAGAATATACAATTTACCCGTGAGATTAAGACTAAGTTTTCTTTAATTAAGCTAAATCTTTGGCCTTGGGAGTGTAATTACACCTAATCCGTAAAACTCCTTTAGAGGGTTGTTTCTATCTAGTTCCTCTTTCTATCTAGTTCGTCCCTCTTTCTATCTTGTTCGTCCCTCTTTCTATCTAGTTCGGAAAGGATTATGTTTCTTAATTTTTCAATCTTTATTAAACAGAAAGGGTGTTAGTAATTTATGCACGTATTCCGAAATGTGGTCCTTCCGTCAACCTCGCTTGAAGAGGGTAAAGATACTACCCCAAAGTCTGGTCCTTCCGTCAACCATGCTTAAAGAGGGTAAAGATACTACCCCAAAGTCTGGTCCTTCCGTCAACCTTGCTTGAAGAGGGTAAAGATACTACCCCGAAGTCTGGTCCTTCCGTAAACCTTGCTTAAAGAGGGTAAAGATATTGGTCCGTCCTTTAACCTCTAGATCTCTCCGAGAGGGTAAAGATGTTACTCCGAAGTCTGGTCCTTTCGTTAACCTCGCTTCGAGAGAGTAAAGATGTTACTCCGAAGTCTGATCTTCCAATCCTTCTAATTTAGTCTTATTCACGTAGATTGTAATGTCCTTAGTTCTTAATTTAAACTTGGTCATTCAAGAGGTCATTCACCTGCATGGTCATTCACGTAGGTTTTTTTTTACTCCTAAGCCCGGTCTTTACCAGAGAGAGCAACGTTTCCTTACGCCGGTAACTGATCCCTACCAGGAAGGGTAATACCTGGTATTTCCTTACTTCTAAGTCTGGTCAATACCAGAAAGGTTGGTGTTTCCTTACTCCTGAAGTTGATCCCTATCAGAGAGGGTAATTATATTTTCATACTCATTAGCCTGGTCCTCACCAGAGAAGGTAATGTTTCCTTACTCCTTACCCTGGTCCTCACCAGAGAGGATAACGTTTCCTTTGTCTTAAGCCTGGTCCTCACCAGAGAGGGTAATGTTTTCTTTGTCCTAAGCCTGGTCCTCACCAGAGAGGGTATGTTTCCTTTGTCTTAAGCCTGGTTCTCACCAGAGAGGGTAACGTTTCCTTTGTCTTAAGCCTGGTCCTCACCAGAGACGGTAATGTTTCCTTACTCCTAAGCCTGGTCCTCACCAGAGAGGGTATGTTTCCTTTGTCCTAAGCCTGG